TCTATAGAAGTAGACTATAGTGATTACTTGCTCTGTGGATATCTCTCTATCCAACATCAAACTTTGGCCTTTTTGAAGCCGTCGAAGCTGCTACACCAGCGCAGTTGCGGTCTCCCGAATTGGAAATATTATATTATCTATTTATAGAAGCAAATGTATTGACTTATTTAGAGTGGCTGTAACCATTATCAATTTTGGAATGTTAAGTAAGAATGTTAGTAATTTATCCTGCTTAAATAAAATAGGCCTGTATTTAATAATTCAGCAATTAATAAATATAAATAATGTGTTGGAATGTGCTGAGTGGTGACCATTTTGGTCGCATAATTCCTAATTAGGTATTAGTTTATTTTAGTATTTCCTTTTTCTTTAAGTTTATAATTGTTTATGTCTTAGTTGTAACTGTTATTGTTATGCGCCAAATATATTTTTTTTCCTTTCTTTCTTGTTATGTTACTTGTTAATTATTGTGACAGAGGTCAGCGATTTGTTGGTTTCGGAACTAAACAACAATGACATAAATTATTGAATTATGGCAAAAATAAGAGAAACGTAAAAACCAATATCAAATGTAGATGCCAGGAAAGTCCTCATAAACTTTAATAAATTTAATAATTCAAGTGTACAGTATAAGCAAGTTTGAATAAAATAATTTGGATATTTATCACTCAATTATGGATGAACGAATTTCGGTGATATTTGGTACACAGATAGAGTCTATATTAACATACTCGATTAGGTAGTTTTTACGTTACGTTGCGAGTCACAAATATTAAATAAATGGCAATACTAAGTTAAAATAATATTCGTATGTTGACTATATAATTATAGACGATGTTTTAAGATGGATTTTTAAAGGCGATTCTTAATTCGACTGTATTTTTATTTTTCAATATTTTTATCAGCAGTATTCACTATTGCATTATCACAACATTTAATGTATATTATACAAAAAATATGCATATAGCATATAGTCTCTATGGGCAGAGGGCCTGGCAAATTAAATAATTCATTTAATAAATTAATTATTGCCTAATGTACCTTGTCGTATTTAAGCCGGATACTTTTATAATACGATTATTATAATGGCAACACAATGGTGGAGATCTTCGCCATATCAGAACCGATTTTGATAATTATTTTTACAATTAAATGCACGCAACGCCAGGTCCCACGCAGTAATTATGAGTAGGTGGATCCGAATTCTTTTTATAACGGGACGCGTTAAGATTATAATTAATGTAATTGGGAGAGGAAAGACAATGGTAACTATGTGCGTAGGCAGAATAACTTGAATATGATCCATACGATTTGGTCTGAGAAGGAAGTGGAAATATAGAAGGGATGTCAAATCCTAATTATCATTTTACAACTGACAACTCCGTCAGGAGGTGAAAAATAAAAAAAAATATATATATACAACCGAATTGGGAACCCCTTCTTGATAAAGTCAATTGAAAAAAATGTACAGTTTAATAGTTTGTTAAAACTGTTCGTTTCTTATAAATTACATATTTGTAACGCATTTTCATTAAAAACATTCATTAACTTATAGTTAACTTACTAGTATAGCAATTTATTGTACAATTACTTCAACTTAGGTACATTGCTATAACATCCGTGAAAAAGTGGTTATAATAGTTTCGTACTGGTTCTAAATCCAAGTTTTCCAACTAATCGACGGTTCTAGTATAACAGTTGTATTAATTGCAGTTAACGAGTTACATATAGCTAAATCAAAGCATTAAGCTAGTACAGTAATAACTTTAAATTAATATTTATTAATCTTTACCCGCGACTTTGTTCGTATTAGGGGAGTATATTGATCGAATGTCTTTCTCCATCCCAATTACAATGTATAATCAAATTTCATGACGATTGGTCGAGTTCTTAAAGCGACAAGAGGTAACAAACAAGCTTATTTACATTTATAAATGAGGGTAGCAAGTTGGAACTTATCATTAAAGATGTTTTTACGATTTAGACATAGTGAATCTAAGTCTAAATCGTCTATTACTCTCATTAATATGCTTCAAATATTGCATAGATAAAAAACATGTAACTTTTAGAATGTTATTTACAACCTATCTTAGATTATAGACTACATATGATACTATAGACAATAAACAATGGAAATGTAATTCAATTAGTAAAATCTAGAAAAATGTCACATAAATCATTATAGTTTCACCGTTCTACGAAAAAATCAACAAACATTTATTGGAAAGTGGACGGCGCGGCGGCGTGCGTGCACAGTGCGTTCCGTTCCACTGATTGGCATTCAGTTTATGATTTATGTACAGGTACGATTGGCCTGTGATCTATGCTTTTCTAATATTGATACTTATCATGTATATACTTTTGGGGAATAACGTTAATTTAATTTTAATATATTACTGAGGAAAATTATAATAAAACATATTTCATCTAAATCTATTTACTGTATTATTCATAAAAGTAAAATTTTTAATGAACCCGTTTTTCGGTTACCTTTATTTATTTCTTTTAAATGTTGCCTAAGTCTAATCACGCGCCAAAATTAATTTAAGCACGTCAATCAACATTTGGTATATAAAGTAGCTACGATAGCAGTAAAAAAAGATTTGATTTTAAATTTCATTTCACGTAATGCAAAAAAAAAAGGAATTAAATAGTATTAGGTCCGTGTCACTTTGAAAAAAAAAAAAATACTTGCATGATATCTATGAAACCAGTGCCTTAAATGTGAAATGTTTACATCAAAAATCAGCTTGGTCTTTTATGATACCTATTGATACCAATATTATGGACAGATACAATAAAAATATTTATACGATATATTAATTTATTTTCCTTTATATTATTTTTTCCTCTGGTGATCTCTTCTAGACCTAGTTAATATAAGGACATTACAGACTATTTAAATACAGTAGGGATTGTTTATTACATCAAAAATATTAGTGTTATAGTCTTAGTTCAAAATTTAAATATCTAGGTACTAAAAACGTAGATTTCAAGACACATATAAATTCAAATTCTCTTGTTCAATAACAAAATGTTTTTAAAACTACGGAAATATATAAGTAAATGTGGAAAGTAAAGTTTAATCTAAATATTAGTGTATAGTCGGTAATCAAAACCTGTTTACCGTCGAAAATCTAGGTACTTATTCGCACCTAAACAGATTTGTAGCGTTGTTAACAAAACGCAAACCCAAATTCTTGAAAACATCAAAGAAAATCTGATAATTGGCATTGATTTTAGTGACTGACAAACAATATTGATTGGTTACAATTTTTAATTTGAAGCTCGTAAAATGGGAAATATTCCGATTTTGAATATTTGCAAAGTGAATGTTTTATTGAGATATTTATATATGTGCATGTTACAGTAGTAACACTAACTTACTTTTTAAATTTTAATAAATTATTATTAAAAACAGTTTCTCGTGGTTTTACCACCGCAAATTTTTATATAAAGTATCCTATGTTTTAAGTTAGGATGTAACCTGCGTACTAAAATTCATTTAGATATGTTTAACCGTTTGAGTACTGGAGGGAAAGGAATTGCTAGTAATGGGGTTAATTAGCCCCATTACTAGCAATATACCCTGTCAGATCGACCTCCAGGTGATCACCCCTGGAAACCATGGTTAATTTTAGTTGAATTCGTCAAGATGGGCTAACTAACCTGCATTTATCCTCATCTATCATCTCCCACTGGTCCACCACCAGCGTATACCGATAGCACAGGCTGGGTCGCCATTCCATTATCACCCATTAAAAAAACCGTTTGAGTAACAAATATAAAGTAGATAAATGTTTACGAAACATCAGGTTGCATAAAAAAAATCATTTATTTAAAAAATTCTGTTTAAATCTTAAGAAATATCTCAAAATAATATATTGCAGAATTGTAGTACTTTAAAAATCCTAGTAAATTTAATAGTAAATTGTACGCTTGTGAAGTTGCTGGTCCTGAATAGATAAATATATTTCTCGAAAAATGACAAAATGTAAACATAGCATTATGTTGTTTGGTAATGTAGTAGCAGATTAATATACATATTTAAACTGAATGGACTACCTAGTCCAGTGTCTAGTGATGAATCATGATAACTCCATGATAATGAGCCTGTTCAATGTGGCCATTGTAGTTAGTACTGACTGATGATTCTATGTCGGCACGTGAATATTAAAGTGACTCATTTAAACCACCTTCGAGATACAACAAAACACACATAGTACTACAAAATCATTTAGCAGTGTACGCTGAGTATAGATCTCCCTTTGATATACGAATAACTTTAAACACTTATTCTAGATTGTTCTTCTCTTGTATTTTATGTAAGAGCCATCAAAAAGAGGATCTTACGTTCTGGGGATAAAATTATGAGAGAACAGATGAACAGACCCATACATACATTCCAGTGAAAATCATCAAATCCTATTTGCTTCGCCGTAGTCGAGTAAAAAGTGGTAACATTTTTCTATGCAATTCAGAATGGCAAACAATTTGATGATCCACTTGATGGGAAGTGGTAACAATCGCCTATAGACATGAACACCATGAACATAACAGAAAATACTGTGTCGCCCATGATAACCCTCATGCGTTTCCATTAATGATGATTAAAGAGTTATGCCTCTATATATGTAATTTCACTGCCATATTCCTCCCTTCAAATCGAAACAATGCTATGCAAACATAATTACTTCACGGCAGAAACATAAATGGCATCCAAGCAAACGACTTTTAAAGTCTTCGTCTAGTGTCCTTGTTTTGTTGGTTGTTCTTTCGGTCTGTATGAATACGGGATGAACAAATATTTTTTTACACACGAAAATCGAATATTATTACTATTTGAATCCATTAGTTAGTACTACTTAATAATATGAAATGATCTGTGCTATCAGTATACAACATCAAAACAGGTCACTTGGCCCATCATGGTGAATTCACCCTGAATTAACTGATCTATACCCTCTACATCTATTTTAAAATATTTAATTAATATCCAGGTGTCGGAGTACGGGGGCGGAGCGCGGGTTGTGTGGGCCATGTCGGCGGGCGACAGAGAAGCGGAGGCTCAGGCCAAGAAGGGCGAGGAGGGGACTGCGTCAGACCGGGACAGCCGGGTGGCGGCTGCCGTCAACCAGCACTGGTGTGTGGGGCTCAGGGCTATCGAACTGGTAAGTATGATGTGCATTTATAAACGACTATCAATATGGGACTTATTTTTTTAAGTTCATATAATGAAAACATGACGCAGACGACTTACTTGATGGAAAGTAGTTGGTAATCAACGCCTGTAGACGTGAAAGCAGCATGGACGTTATAGAATAGGATGTGGCACCCATTGTACTCCTCATGCGTTACTATTTTACTATAGTTTCACTACTCTGTAATTTCACTGCCATAACCCACCCTTCAAATCGAAGCACAATCATGCTAGTACAGCTGCTTCACGGCATACATGCCATAAACAAATAGCAAACTTGTAAAAACTTGACACGTTTAGGTCATGTGATTACAAATTAACCTGTTTTGTCTATGCTTTTAGTGCCAATTTGCAGTGCAACTCAATTTAATCTATGAAATTCAAGATTTAAGCCTTTTTATGCGATTATATCTGTGACGTGTTAAAACATTCATTTCAAATATTAAAAAAAAATTAAAAAAGTAGATATTGCTACATGAGTTTATTTAGAAAATTAACTGTAATTTTTTTTTATTTCATTACATTGACTGAAACTACAATTTAATCAATATCTAATTAGATATTCAGAGAGAAATGCAGCTGACCGGTGTACTAGGGGGGAAAAGCCTTGATGGCATTATCAAGAACGATCATTAAAGTATAGGTATATAGTTTAATTTGCCCTTCAGAGGTTGCGATATACCTATCATATATCTAATGAAAATTCATATGAAGCTTTTTTTAGAATAATGTGCAGATTCTGTACTATGATATCTATGGTTACCACTTTCCATCAGTTAAGACGTCAGCTTGTTTGCCATTCCGCTCTGCATAAAAACATAGAATAGAAATACTGAAAAAATTGTCAGTTGTTAATTAATGTTATGGTGTTTTAGGGATAGATTAATGTATTATTATTAAATAGATAAGGCAGTATAAATCTACTATGCAAGAATTTGTCACAATATTGTACACCGCTCTACCCGCTGACATAGATGTTCTTTTCCACTTCGAATTTGCTGAAAGAGAACTCTTTTAGAGTTAAGCTCGCCTTTGCAGAGTTACTTACCTCTGTCATATTTTTTAAATATTATTAATGTATACGACAAAGTATAAATAAGTAAATACTTACTAATAGTATAAATGTGAAAGCAAATCTGATTCTTTGTCATCTCTTGCTGTCATTACGGTAATACCAATCGTCATGAAATTAGATATACATTTTGTACTTGGAGAAGGACACAAAATATAAAGTGGACAATGTCATGAGTAAAAAAGTTGCACTCTAAAAACTGGTAATCCATTGTAGGGACGCATCTCATTCATGCATCAACACACACACATTGATACATGCACTTTAAACTTTATGGCCGGTTGAATACATTCAACTCGATAATTTTAGATGAAGTATTCAACAAGTCTATGATAGATAGCACATAAAAATAAATGTTAACCACATTAAACAATTTATTTTCATCTAAGTAAGTACATGTGAAAGTGAAAACTAACCTATAGTGGCTAAGGAAAGAGTCTTTGAAGTTGGAAAATTACTTTGCGGTGTCTAGGAATATCGGCATCATGACTAGTGAAAATGGCGTCACTAGACTTTCACTGAAATAATATTGTTGATCATAGACTATTTGATATTTTTTTTCTTCTATTTTATACACGTACGTGACTTTTGTTAGCTATGTTGAAATTATCTAAAAACTGTTGAAAGTTAGAGAAAGGAGGATACAATTTAAAAATAAACATAATGAGAAACTAATCACGAGTTCTAATGACTGTCTCCATTTCGTACATTTCTTTTGGTAATTACTTATCTACTTTTTTTTTCATTAGCATAGCAAAAACAAAGTATGATGAGGAAGCGAGTATTTTAAAATGAAATTTAGTGAAAAAGAAAGTTTCAAGAATTTGTAATATTTTTATAGTGGGCATACTCACTTATGCCAATAGTACACAATGGCCCCTCTGACGAAGAATGAAATAAGAATGAAGTCAGGTCAGCGATGATTTCCAGGGGAACCTCGTGATGACCATTTGACAGGACATATTGCTAGCAAAGAGATCATTACTCCTCTTCTCCACTTTTAACTTCGGTATATTAATATTGAATAATATATCAATCTATTGTTTTACAGATTATCGCCATTATAGCGACCGGCCTGATGATTGGCGCCCTCCACAATCCAAGAGTGGTACAATCGGACCATCAACATATTGCTCTTATATATTCTGCTTATTCGAGTAAGTCAAATTGCTTCCTACCATAATTATTAATAGACAAAGACTTTTTCTATAACAAGATATTAGCTTACTATTAATATTCTGATCAAACGGCCTGGTATAGCGTTTTAATTGGAGTTTTGCTTCTATTTCATAGATACCTAATAAAATTGATGTAGGTTTTTTTCTTTTGAGGAGAAAAATTATTTGTTGTGTATGTTTTTTGAAAGAAATGGTTGTATTTCGATAAAATAAAGTCACAAAACCTTATATTCGATTTTCACACGAGCGTCTTTTTTGCGGCTTTGCAGCTATTGTATCTTATATAAGGAATTATGGTTAGGAACAGTTCAAAACATTTGGATTTATTATTAACAATATTTAAGGTAGCTTTCCTTTTTATACAAATATAGAGGCACCTCCGATTTAAAAAAAAATCAATAGAAATGATTACAAAGCCATCTTCCGTTATTAACACAATCGGGTATCAACACCAGTCCATGACCTAATTGTCACAATGGATTTTAGTTCTAATCTTCCAATTTACGGACGATTGTTACCGAGTTGATCGATTCATGGTCGATTTACTGGTATATAGAAATACAAATATTTTATGGAACCTACTAATTGTAATTTTTTTAATTACTATATTTCGAGTGTCATTTCAAAAATCTGGCTGTTTTGGTTTTAAGAATGGGAAAAGTCCATGACATTACAGAGTACGAGGTTTAAAATATTAGTCCTTAGGAATGGTAAAATATGATTTTTTTTTTATTATACAACAGAATGGCAAACAAGCTGACGGCCCACCTGATGGAAAGTGGTAGCCGTCGCCTATAGACATGAGCAGTACCTAGGACATAACAGAGTATACTGTTTCGCCCATGATACCCCCATGCGTTGCCATTTCTGAGGACTCAGATATTATTCCTGTACCCTGTGAATTCACGCCATATCCCACCCTTCAAACCGAAACACAGCCATGCAAACACAACTGCTTCACGGTAAAAACACGAATGGGACAGAGGTACCCAAGCAATCGACTTTTGTACAAAATCTCCCTCTGTTATGGACGTCATAGTGTACCGTGATGTGTGCACCTTTTTGTGCGTGACAGTTGCCATTTTCCGTCAGATAAACGTGCTTGCTTGTATGTCCTAGTTGCATGAAAAATTACTTCTTTGTTAATTTTGTGTTACTGTATTTAAATTTTCAATTTTTTAAATTATTGTAGTTTATTAGTATTGTAGTTGGTTGCTAGATGTAACAAAATGTCTTCGTTGATGTGGCTAGCTACCATACGTCTTATATGTCTGTTTTGGAATCCTGCAATGAGGAGGGGGGCGTTGATATCATCGTTTTTCAATAATATTGTAACCAATGTTTTTGTTCCAAATAAATAATAATAATAATTATTATTAATTGTAATTGTAGAATTTGAAATTCATTTTAGTTTAATTATGTGCATTTATTACTAAATAAACAGTTATGTCTTACATGGTGTGGACACTACATATACATATGTATACAATACATATGTATTGGAACTATTAGTCTTTAACTAAAATTAATTAACTTTTTAAATCTTTAATTAACCTACGAGCGACGCGTTTGAGTATTCTGTCACTACTGACTATAGGTAGTGTACTTATTGTATTTTATTATAATAATTAACTTTTAATTTAGCATGTCATTATTTTAGATGTTGAGTCACATCAGAGTACTTTGTTTCTTAGTTTTCTTGTTTATATTTCTTCTGTTTAACGATTCTAAATTAGGTACGGTAAACTACTTACATTGTTACGAATTGGACGGTTCAAATATTTATCCGTTGGAAGTTTCTTTTTTTTTTTTTTTGTTGTTGTTGTTGTTAGTTTCTTGTCATCGTCTGTGTTTGTACGGAACTTGAACGTCTCTCCTGTTTCAGAGGTAATTAAAATTAAAAAAAAATATTCCAGAAGATAATCTGGAAAGTTCTTAAGTAAGGGTAAAAGTTGATGATTAGATTTTTTTATTTATTTGTACATCTTTAATGTAACTCAAGTTTTATTTTTATGACTGTTTCTAAAAATCAGGAAAAGCCTTTTTTATTGCCCAGTGGAAATTTTCCTATTTGAAGATCCAGCAATTTAGGCTTTTATTGTTATTATGATTAAATAAAAAAATAAATAATTAATTTCTCTCCAATTTAGTTAATGCATGAACCTATGAACTACATTTTGATTGGAGTAAACTTGTGCCTGTCCTATATAGAAATGAACTAACGTGTTACATACAATGCTTTCCCTTCCGCGTTTTTGGGCGAAAGAAAAAAAAATCTTAGACTACCTGTCATCATTACAACAGCCGTTAACTATTCACTGCTGAACCTAGACCTACCTATAAGGGGGGTATTGCTAATAGTTGCCATGCTTGGCAGGCAGGTTGGAAAACGCTGTTAGGCTTTGGTGATGTTTAGAGAGGGACGTTGCTACCGATCCGTCGACCGTTAAGTTCCCTTAGTCGCTGTCGGAAAGGAAGGGATGGTCCATTTTACGTCGGGACCACACAGTATAGAATCAGATAAACTAGTTATGTTACTGTGCAACTGTGATAAATATCACGTTGTGGGACATGAAATATTTCTAAGGCGACTCCATAACAGTTTATTTACTCTCACATTAATATATAAAAAAATCTTTACGCTTTCTAAACTAAATCTTCAGTACAATACAATACAATGTGTTACGTCTACAGATATTATAAGTAGATATTAAATTTTATTTTCTTGTTATTAACTTATTAGGCAAACGTTCATTGTCCATAAAAAGAGAATACAAACGAATTATTTCGCAATGTACAATTTTAGAATCAATTTCACTTCTGCAATAACTGGAAAATTGGTTTCATTGAACTTGTGTGTGAAAGCGAAACTGTTGGCACCTTTTAAACGGTGAACCATAAACTAATTGCTATACCTACTCTAATCACCCTCTTGATTACAGATAAATAATAATACTTTTTTTTTGTTATTGTTTAGGTAGGCACTATTTTTAATCTATGTCCCTGACATAGATTAAAAATAGTACCTACCTTTTTCTCGTTTTAAAATGTGAAGTTAGGTAGTCTCGATTACATAGATAAGGACTATTCTTTATCTATGTAATATGACTAGCATTGTTTTTCTACGTAGATATATTGAATTGTGACTGACTAGCGAGATTTCTATAAACACGTCCTCTTTGATCAACCTCATAAATATAATTCTTTTTTCAATTGTAACAATTTATTCACTTTTTAGGTTTCATCATCATAACTGGGGTCCTTATCATCGCTAAGCTGTTTGGTGAGAATGCGGGTTGGAAAACTTCTATTGGTTTCTCAGTGTTGGGCGTAATCATGTTTACAGCAGCAGCAGCGGTCATTTTTTATGGTAAGTATACGACCTTATTACTCTATCTGTGACTAAATCCTGGATTATTTTAATTTAATTATTTGGAAGGCAAAGAAAACATAGCATGCTTATTACTACAAATTGAAAAGTGAAGACAAACACTTTGTTGTCGAATTATACACCTATGTTATAAAACACTTATATTTCTGTCTAATGTACACACATGCACATTTCACGCATACCTCTCTCGGAATTGAACCTGGACGCAAACAGATGTGATGCAAGAGCAAAATCAGTTTTATAACTACAACTACGGTTGGTAATCATTTAGTGATAACAGAACCTTGTAATTTAGAACCATATAACCTCATTATTTACGTATTATGACAAGTAGTTTTAGTCACGAATACTTTATATGCATGTCATTATCTATTCCATTTGTATGGTAAAACAATCCCCTGCTTCAGTAGATAGATATAAATACAGTCAATTTGAATTACTATCCTATTAGTCATAGCTAATTAATATGCATAGTGTATACAGAATAAAATAGGTTGTACCTATAACTGTATACTGTAGTACTTTTACCATTCTTATTTAGACAAAAGTAGTGTCAGTCATTAGAGACTTTTTTTTTTAATTTCTTAAGGCTTTGGCATATTTTATAGAAAATGCTGTTATGCCATCTTGCCTTTTTTAATTTTCCATATGTAGTAATTTCTGTTAAGTAATAAATTTTTAAAACATATTTCAATGTTTTAGAAAAATTTGCAATTTCTCGAAGAAGAACTATGTATTGAACTGATTTCAAAAAGGCAATTGTCAAGTCGATTATTATTAATAGGGTTGTTTTTTAAGTGTGTATTAATTGCGCTGTATGTATTAATATGATTTATTTATGTAGATATAGCGTACCATATAAATTGCTTTAAAATTCATTAGTCTATGTTCAGCATTTATGTGCAGATTTGCGTTGCAATTTTGACCTTGTGTCTTTTTTTCTTAATTACAGATTGGCATAGCTCGTATTACGCGAATCTACGTCCCAACAAGCAAGTTTACGATCTTCTAATTGCATCTGGGGTGTTCGCCGTTATAAATGCTGCCGTGTTTCTTGTACACGCATTCTTTACCTTCAGGAAGGAGGCCGACTATTAATATTTTGTATTTTAATTGTAACCATTTACGTTAAGATTCCTCTAATATGGTAAATAATAATATTTGTATGATTTGATCAAGCTCGGCTTTGGTTAATTTTTTTATGTATATTTTTTTATAATACGTAATTAAAACTAATAGTGTATTATTAAGTAATAATTTTATAAATAAAGACAAATGTTTATTAGACAGTATTGCTTTGTATATAATGCTTCAGATTGATTGTGTTGTCCTGCGGGTAGCTATGGGTTTCGGTATTTTGAAAAATTATAATATCTATTATGTATTAATTAATTTTAAGCTTGTTTGCCCTGCGCAGTAGCTAATGAGAAATAAATACACTATTATAAAAATATATTAATAATTGTAAAATCCACAATGCAGCTATGTTAAATACATTATTTAATTTTTTTAAGTTTTTGGCCGAATGTGCAAGTTTGAAAATAGTAGAAATAGACATTAGTAGCTTTTTTTTTAATATAATCCACATAAAAATGGGTAATAAAGAGGCAAAGGAAAGTGCTTTTACTTTTGAATGATTTGTAATTGTGAGTGTATGCTAGTTTTTAAGTTTTGTTTGTAATGTAATTATTACTAAAATCATTCCGCTGAGACCAAATTTATAATAGTATTAGGCGACCGCGTCGCAATTTTTTTTTTATTTATTAATCTTATTTGTAAATCAATATTTTGTTAATAATTTGAACGAAGTGACCACCGTTTCATTGATTTTAGAATTAGTTTTGTATTCTTCAGATTGCAACATAACGATCTCAATGATTTTTTTTTAATTCTAATTCGAGAACTTCATATGAGATACTTCCCTGTTTTTTTTTTTTTTATTTATTTGGTAACTTTAAATTGCAGGCCTATATTTTTTATATTCTGCTAGAAAATTCAATATTTTCAATATCATTGAGTTCGTGAAAAGCAATTTTTTTTATTTTATAGCTATTTGTTATAAGACATAACTTTTTTCAGATGTGATTGAACCTGTAAAACTCTTAAAATAAGTGTAGTATAAATCACAAGAAAAACAATAATATTCTTCTGTTAATTTTATCACATTTTGTTAATATGATGTATAGATGATTTGATAGGCACGTAAACATTGAAAATTAAATAAACTACCGACCCCGCAAATACCTAATTAACACAAAAATAAAATAGACGAGTACGACAATTTTAACTGTCTATTCCAGAGTGAAATAATTTTATAAGGCATATTTTTTAATCTGTGCTTTTAACAAAGTTTAAAAAAATATATTATATGAAAAAATTAAAATAATTGAATAAAAATGCTTAAATATCATATGCCTATCTATTTATCGTACCATTTAACGAACTGAACTCATTGTTAATTGTAATTATGTGTTAATTATATTTTAGTTATGTAAAATTAAAAAGGGAGAACCAAAGCAGTAATCAGTATCCGTCCAGAGGTAGTTAAGTTTCTTTCTTGCTGCTCTTTGTGTTCCTTTCCTGAATTTATGTTCTACTTAACATATTAAATACTTAATATTCAATTTTTTTCTATAATACTAAATTTATCTACTAACATATTTACAATTTTCAATTAATAAATATGTTATATATTATTATTTACAATTGCATAAATGTATACCTATTACCTCCTATTTCATAATTAATCCATAAGAAAGGAACGTAAATATAAAACCTATAAATATATTCAGCTCTAGAAGTATTCCACCTCTTTCATTCGAGCTAAATAATAAATAAGTATAATATAACACACTAATTGAGAACTAGGTTTAACACAGATTTACCCTTTTATGAATATTATGGTTACTTTATATCACAGTTAACCGTTTAAATATATTTTTATCAACATATTTAATAAATATAGGTATATTAATGTTATGACATTGCTTTAGTTAAAACATTTATTATTTATTAGATATAAGATTAAAACATTGCATGTGTTGTGAATGTAATTAAGAACATAATTATAATATTAATGTAATATTTAGACATGTATATAGCGATGAACGGATATAGTTGTGTATGTGTATTTGGCGCTAATGTTACCTTATATATACATCCTATTCGATCACAGTGAGGTACTCGCGTCGCAAACGAAAATTTCAGCAAAAAAAAACCTATTTGTCTCTAAATTAATTAGATTTTTGAAACGCCAATCAATTAAAAAAAAAAAATGCAATTCATTTGTAAATTGTAAGACAGATTAAAATTATTATTAAGATGGACAGACTTATGTCAATATTTATATGTTTAATATTTGTATGTTTAGCATATTAACATTTTCAAAATTGATTTAGGACAAGTAATATCATAGATAAGTTATCTAAAATTCATTGTGAAGAAATTTGAAGCAGGCTCTATTGATTGTATGTTGTAGATTGTTATAATGAAAAACTAACATAATTGTTCATACAATAATTACTAACTTAAGATGAAATAATAAGATGATACCTTTCTTCTTCTTGCAAACCATAAATTGATTTGTAAAATTGAAATTAAGTTACTTGTAAAATTAAGTTAATTTTGACACAATTTATATTAACTTGATTGGCCTTTTGAATATCATGTATTATTGTTTCATGTACCTACCCGTCGTAATGATAATAAATAATTTAAAATTACATTCTTATTTAATTTTATACATTATTTTATTCTACATAACTCAAGTAAATAATAAATGGTGTAGAAAAAAAACACATTCTTGTTGCCTACTGGTAACACAGTTTTGTTGCAGGAATGCAGGTCATTCAATTGATGTATGTGGCTCTGGTACATATTTTGTAGTGAAATATTGGGAAAACATGTTTTGCAGTAATGATTGATAGGTTGAATTAATGATGATGAATGTTAGAACAATTAATACATGGATATGAACAAGAAATTAACATAATTCGAAATAGTACTATTTTGGGGGTAATTCCTAACTTTGAAGTTCGAGCAAAAGAGGTGAGTAGAAAACATGATGGAGAGGTGTGACTGAACACTGGCTCTTTCATATACCTAATCTATACTTATATAGTTATTTGTCCTGGCTATCTAAACTACCAAGTGTAGTAAGCTGAAATTTGGAACAAGCTTGTAAGTTTATTCTATACACCAAGCATCTGGTAAAAAAGAAGGAAAAAAGAAAGAAAGAAAGAAGAAAAAGAAACTTTATTTTACAGAAGGACTTTTGAAAATTTCAACTTAGCAGAGAAACACAAATACCACATGAGCAATAGCAAGTACACATTATGACTATGTTATAGAGTAATTAAATATATATTGTAACATCAATATACTTAATATAAAATCATCGTCGTGAATAATTTATCAGGAATCTGTTGTTACATTTATAAATCACAGTAATAAATGTGAATTATAAATAATTATTCAGGGAGTTACTTTTCCATTTTCTTGTTGACATTTGTTGATAAGATAATATCTATAAAGCTGCCAGGTACATAGTTTTATTTTAAATGAGTGGGTAGGTTTAAGTTTACATTAAAGGTTTGAGTATGTACTTTCATAAAAATATTATATTAAACTTGTATATATATAAATCAACAATCAACGCACACAAATATTATGCTTAAAAATTAAACCTTAAAAAATAAAGCTATATGCCTAAGAAATATTCATTTTATCTAGAGCTCACAAAAATATAATGACAGGTAAATATTTTGCTTATTAAATGTGTAAATAATAATTCACATTCATTATCTAGAGAAGACTAGGAAAACCTTGTTTGTAAGATGCTGCAGTAGATTCTAGGTTATTTAAAATTTTTATTAAAACTTGTACAAATTTTCTCATGATTTTAGAAAAACACGTGAATAATAAACAATCACATACCTTTTCAGCTTTAGCTAAGTAAATCCAAAGTTTCCTCCAGGTCGAAAACTTCTTCTGATCACTGAAGTTATATTGCATTTCTTTAGATGCATATCTTGTACTTAACGGCGATCTATAGTTACAATATTCCGAATTTTGTATATCCACAGGAGCATCAATGGAAAACATCTTGTTAATATTTTGTTTAGTACTTGAAATAACTAAATTAGGTTATAATTTGCGCGAAACCGTGAATCGCTTGAACAAAACAGAACAGCTGTAGAGATGTCGTTGACAGTCGAATAGAAGTGACACTGACAGATTTCATTTCAAGCAATCCTATCCGAGGTCGATTTCCAGACCCGCGAATATTGAACTTGTGCACGTAAGATAACAAGGTTATCCAACTGATGTAATTTAGAAAACAGTATTACGAAAATAGGTCGATTGTTTTGTACGTTACTGTAGGGGATCGCGATATCGGGGGGACTAATATAGTACTGATAAAACGGTATTTATTGTGAGACATTCCAAACAACATTCTTACGCTTATGAATATGAGATAAATAATTAATGATGCAATAAAGTAGTGGAATTTATTTTCTATTTGGTTGACAGGTTACTAAGAATATTAATCTGTCTATTAATAAATAGAGCTTGACTTTGTAGATTGCCTTAATTAAGACATTCTGTGAACTAACCGCCTCCATTGGGGGGAAGGCTTTGTTAGTCAAAGAGACTAGTCTCTATTGCTAATACCCTGATGGATTGGGGAGAAGAGATTGTTAGTAATGGGGATTAGTAGCCGACCTCCTCGTGGTTTTCCCTGGAAACCATGGCGATTAATTTATTGCTAGATTCGTCACGGTGGGCTGATCTGCTTCATCCTCACCTATCATTCCTAACTGGTGTCCCGCCGGGGGGGAAGGGATTGTTAGCGATGGGGTCTAACAGCCCCATTGCTAGTTCTTGTAAAATTCTTCACGATGAGCTAACTGACCTGCTTTCATTCTCATCTACCATCTCTCATTGGTGCCCCGCTAGCGTATACCGATAGTGCAGGCGGGGTTACCATTTCATTATCACTCATTAAAAAAAAAACTAGTGTCCCACCAGTGTATACTGATAGCGCAGGTAGGGGTACCATTTCATTATCATCCATTAAAAAAAATACCCTGACGGGGAGAGGAAGTATCTTGGCAGGTCGACCTCCACATAATCCGCCCTGGAAACCGTAGTGGTTAATGTTTGTCGAATTCTTCGCGATGGACCAACTGATGTGAGTTCATCGTCAAATATCTCTCACTGGTGCTCCGTCAATGTATACAAATAGCGCAGGGGAGGGGGAAAGGGATTGTTAGTAATGGAGACTGAAAATCCCATTACTAGCAATATATCCAACCAGGTCGACTTCCTCGCGGTTCTTCCTGGAAATTATCATGGTTAATTCCTGATGAATTCATCATGATGGGCTAACTGGCCTGTTTTCATTCTCATCTATCACCCTTCACTGGTGCTCCGCCAGCATATCCGTTAGCGCAGGCGGGGTTACTATACCATTTTCACCCATCAAAAAACAAAAAAATAGCGCAGAGAGGCTAACATTCTATCAATTAAAAACGAATTGCCTCCACTGATGCTAAACATGTTTTTACAATCAAAACCGCTACCCGTTGATCTAGAATTATGAAATTTGTCAAGAAGCAATGTATGTAAATGTGTGTAGTACAAGTAAAGAATCAATTGTAAAATTACGTAAAATTGTAATTATTTCACAAAAAAATTAAGTTAATGATTTTGTACGTAACTCTCGTTGCCCGAGTCCGACTCGCGCTTGACCGGTTTTTTTAACTATATTATAGTAAGCTAGTATATACTATATTAGAACCCAGTAACAATACATTTGGCAATATAAAACCTTTATTTACAACAATATATATCAAACTGATTACATACATCATATTATACAGTATATGTATATTTTTATAACAGTATAATAATAATGATTCTTATTTATGTCAAAAAGGTTGTCATTTATTATATCAATCTATCTATAACATCATTAAGGCACATGTAAGTATGGAAACCACAATGCAAATCGGAAGTAATATTTCAGCAGTTCTTTTGTCATTATTCTTAATTCTAAATTTAACAAAATCTACGATCAAAATCAAGGATTATTCCTTATTCAAAAACAATAAGTTTTAATTCATAAAAAGGTTACGAAACAGCCAGTACGTTAGCGATGTAGTTTATTATAATAAACATTCGAAGTTTGGTATGAAAACCAAAACTAAAGGAGTCATGAAATTAAAAATTAACTATTTATTTTAAAAATGTAATACAGTTTTTAATCCATTTATTGATTCATAGTTTTATTAAAAAATATACACTACTACCATCACAACCAAGTATTTTACACGTTTCTAAACGAAAAAGTTGTTATTACCAATTAATTTTGCTAGAAATTAATAATTTAACAAAATATATAATCATATTTTAATCGACAAATATAGACCCGCATGGTCCGATCTTGACCTTTTCTAATTCTTTTAATACCTAGAACACAATACATATTTAAAAAACTGAAAACTATTAATCGATTAAAATTAGCCCTAATTACTGATGCTTATAAAATTTTCTAATTCATTTTAAAGATTCGAGTTCCAATAGCTTTAAATAGACTTAATTTTGAGCCATCATATTAGTAACACATTTTTTCATTGACTTAACGTCGACTAGATACTGTGTCGATTGTTGACATTTTAAAAATCATAATTTATTGTTGGTGACTTCTCGATAGTTATTTATCATGTTGATTACGATATTATTTGAAATTCTTGTCTTTTTCTAATAAATAATAATATCTTCTGGGACTTAAATACAAGGATTTAAAATAATATTAAATATCAAGATTGTTTTGTGGTTTATATAAATGTACAGCGATTGAGTTGAGTTTTGGTATACTTGGTGATGGGGGTTAGACTTTGTTCTTCAGAGATTTCATCATCTTCTCCAGTTTCATTGCCTTTTGGATGTCACCAGCGATCTTGAGTTTGCCCATCATGAATGCTGTAGTTGGCTTCAGTTTTCCTATGATGAAACACGAAAAAAAAAAATTAATATATATTCTTATTAATTAATTAAGGACAGGCATTGCACAATATACTAGTTGCCACGCTTGGCAGGCCGAGAGGCAGAGTGTCGCTGCTGTTTATGCCTCGATCATTAAGTTCCCTTAGTCGCCTCATACGACACCCAAGGGAAAGGAATAGGTGGTTCATTCAATATGGGGATCATACGGCTTACAATTAGATTATTTGCCATTCTAAATGACGTTAAAAAGAAAATAGATTTCATATTATAAACATTTTTCTTCGAAGTAACGCGGATAATACTATTTAATATATATTTTTTAAACACTAGCTTACCAGCAAACATGTCAGCGAAGTTGGCGCCGTCCATTGTGAGGGTTGCATCGGGAGGGCTCTTCGGCTCGCCCTGGCCGCACGAACCGTCTCCGTTCTTTAGATCTATGTGCCATACACCTTCTTCTTTGCCTAAAATATTAAATATAATGTTACTAGATCAACAGTTCTCAGAGTTTTGGCAACGGTTTCTCTAATAAGATAAAAATTTGTTTGAAAATTGTTACAATATTGTACACTGCTCTACCAGCTGACTTTGATGCTGCTTTCCACTTTGGGTTTGTTGGAAGAGAACTCTTTTAGTGTTAAGCTCGCCTTTGTACATTTGATTACCTCTGTTATATTTTTATGTATCATTATCATGTCAGCCTTTAGCTGTCCACTGCTGAACATAAGCCTCCCCTTGGGGGGTATTGCCAGTAGTTGCCAAGATTAGCAGGCGGATTGGCAATCACAGTTAGGCTTTGGAGATGTTTTAAGCCCTCCTTTAGTAGCCTCTTACGACACACACTGGAAAGGAAGGAGGTGGCCTATTCTATGCCGGGAGCGACACGGCTCATTTTTATGTATATTTTAGAAGGCACATAAGAAATAGTGCCATTGACACCACACAATGCACGAGTATCATAGTGCATTGTGTGGTGTCTATGGCACTATTCAAGTCTGTGGACAATAGTTACAACTATCAGACATCTCTACAACAATAGTTACTCCCATCAGATTTTTATTCAATCTGTTTGTCATTTTAAATCGAGTAAAAAATAATCCTCACCTTTCACATTGAACTGATAAATCGCCTGTGTCTTCTTCACCAGGTCAGCTGACAGAGTTTTACTGATGGCGTCAAACAGCTGTGGAATCTGACCACCTGCCCCTGCTTGAGGCTGTGTAAAATATTTCATTCGTTTTAAAAAAATCACTACAATTATGTTTAAATTACTTTCTTAACTAACAAAAGATGGCAATAATGTTTATATATAGTTGTTGATATCTAAAATATATAAAAATGGTTGATACAAGTTGATGTATTGCAGCGCCATCTAGAGATGTCATATAAGCAATCGGACAGCATAAAATCCTTTTGCATGAATGTTTTATGTACCACATTTTGCGATAGTTGGCGAGTTGGTGAAACGGTTTCAAAGTATGAATTTCAAATATATAAATATCAAAACCCATTTTTATATATTTTAGATAATATATACAGTATGATGGTATTAAGGGCATTTGTTAAAATTATAATGCCTGGGCATATTATATGAAATGTGATAATGAAAAATTATATGATTCTAACTAAAAAGCCAAAAAAAAAAAAAAATAACAGTAATGATTTAAAATTTTGAATGTTCGTTCTTTATATGAGGACATCTCTTAAGAATAGATATCTCGAAATTTCCACAGAATGGTAACAATGGAAATTTCGGAAATAGATCGAAAACAGCTAACCTGGAAATATATATCTAACACTTCTCGACTATAATATGCACTGGCTATAACATAAAAATCATACAACAAGAACGACGAATCAGTGGCCATAGAGAATTTAGAAGTTGATCACACCTTTTTAACTTCACTCTTTGGCTGTGTGGGCCAACCGGGCTCGTTCAAAAAGAAATCCAGCAATAGATTTGATACATTACCTGTGGACAAACAATTTGTCGACTTCAGATATAATCGTTAATTTTACCCATAGATAATTTTTTTTTTCAAACTTTCGTTGAAAGCCTATAATAGCCTAGAAAAGTTGCAGTGAAAAAATTAATACAGGATTACAAACTATATTGTCTATGATCGTAATTTATATAATTGTAACTTATTTATTGTATTAAAAAATGGCTAGCCTAATGTATTTTCTACCAGCTAACCATTAGGTAGAAGGAGAAAGCGTTTGATGGCCAGTAATATGTAAAAAACTATGACTGTAATTTTTTTTTTTTTTATTAAATAATATGTGTACTTGACATGTCTATGACCACTGATTGATAAAAATGTATTAGTGTAAAATTTATGCATTCAATTAACCTCAACCTTTGCTTTTTTTAAAAACATATTCTTTTTAAATAAAAAACGTGTCAGGTGAAACATTATTAATTGGTTAATTGATGACAATAAAGGGACTGTTTCTGAAACGTTATTCTCTAAATTATTCTTTTAAACTTTGTTCCGTGAATTAAATACAACTGACCTGACAGAAAAGAGAATTATAAAAAAAAAAACCAGTGATATTTAAGAAGGCATTGAGAAGTTATGGTGGAATAAAGAAACTAATACACATACTCGAACTCTGAAAACATTACACTCGTATCTTTAAGCAATTGTATAGAAAAAAAAAAATATATTATCGATTTTTTCCTCATAATCTTTCTTTTTACTATAATCATCGCTAATTTAAAACCGATATTGACGATTGTTTTCAATCGGTTTACTGTTATCGGTCACATAGGTACCAATTTAGTCAAGAAGTTTTGTGGAACAAAATCTAAAAATTTATAGAAGATAACATTTTCGAAATGCTTCTATCATATTTTGTTACATACATATATATGTCTAGTTAGTAATTCATTAATCATAGTAATAAATTAGTAATCAGATTGACTTATAATAGTAATAATGATTATTTCAAGAAATACTTAAAAATAGGGGTTCGCGATATATACATTATATCAACCAAAACAATTAGGTACATAAATAATTATAAATAAATATAATTCAAATAAATACATTACACTACACCGCCATCTATTGTGTCTATCTAGAGTTACCAATTCGAATAGGCACCTACAGTCCTTGCACGTTATGTCAAACAACAAAAAGAAACAGAACTGACAGGACCATATCTTTGACGTTTTTTTATAACAAAACTATTATTAGGCTATTTTGCATCGTTGATACAATTATAAATTCAATTCAATAGTATCAAAATTATACATAGATACACTATAGGGCTTTATTTAAATATTCCGGAAATATTTTATTTCAATAATAATCATATTTAATAATTAAACAAAAAGACCGCCTTTTGTACCTTTATGTGTATATTTCAATCTGTATTTATGTTACTGTATTTCACTAGAATTATTCACTTGTCATTGTATATTTTTATTGTATATCTTTATTGCAATAAAGAGTTAAATAAATAAATAAATATATTTATTTTATATTTATATGTACATATATTTAATACATTTATACAATAATAATAAGTAATATTCATAGTAATCATTGCGTGAAAAGATGACGAAAGAGAAATAGAATGCGAAAGTTAATAATAATAATAACATAGATTATAATAGATAGAGCATCGAGTCTCAAAAACGGGTCAACTATTTGTCAGCTAAATTTCAAACTAGCTGGCTCGTTTTTTTATGTGTTCTATATAGAACATTGATAAAAAAAATTGTATAAGTATATACTTATATAGTAATGTATCTTGACGTATTATTTAATGAGTGTTTACGTATTAAAAAAGAAATCATAACAATTTATCACGTAAAATTGTATGAAAAAGTTAACCCGCTTTTTTTGCATGGAATTTGCATTTATATGGAGACACTCTATATAATTTAAGCATATATACTAATAAGAGTACCTGAAATATACTATACTAAGTATTGTGCATATTATTTGACATATAATGAACAGTCTCCGGAACCAACGTGCAAGCATGAGACGAGTTATGAGAGGAAGAAGCACGAAATGGCGAGATTTAGGTACTCGGTTCTCTGGAGTAACATATAGATAAATACAAATAGGTATAGCCATGGGCGTATTTAAGGGTGACCCATGCCCACTACAGGACTGTCTGGTGTCAACCCAAAGATGCGAGTAGAACTCTCAACTATGGATAAAGACATGTCTGAAAGTACATGTGTCTTTTTAAAGGAGCCAGGCTCCCCCTTGATAATAATCTTATATTAAATACGCCAATGGTTAAACCTATTTGTTTGCTTCTATAAGTCATAATGGTATGTATTTTTATAATAATTTACGGTTAAGCAATTATTTATTAAATTATTCGTAACAATCTCGACATCACATTTGAATTGACATATGAATTGGCGGGAAAAAGTCTCTTATTAGATTTAATAAAACTCGTTTATCTAGTAAAAAAAAAAAAAACATTTTTGTCCTTGACTAAAGGCAAAGGCAAAACTTATTAAAAAAAAAATTACTGCTCTGGAAACCAGTGATTTTAGACTACATGTTTTTAAATAAGTGTTGCCATCATTGCCACACAAACCTTCTCTTCTTTGCGGTTAACCGCGGACGTATGGTAACGTCGCGCCGCCACAGAGAACACAGTCGCGCGGTGTTGTGTTTTCGCGACCGGGTCGTCAAGGAATCCGTCCAATAATAGGTTATCCGCGTTTTCTGAGGCCAACAATAAGGACTGTCAAATGTCTGATTTATCTAACTACCATAAGTTTTTAAAACAGGCTGCAAACAAATTGAATATTATCACCTTATATCTTTTTTCTTTTTCACTAAATTCTTAATTTGAAATAAAGTGACAGAACTCTCATAGTTAAAGTAGGTATGCAGGAAGGTTTTAGTTTTATTATAAAGGGGTTGTTACACTTCTATAAATTAAGCTTATTTATTACGAGAAACATATCGGAAGCAATATCTTTTTATGCTAGTTAGATTAAATACGTATATAAATTTACACCATTTCTTATCATCATTATCAGTCATTAAAGTCAATTGCTAGACATAGGCTTTAAAATTGGCCTTTGAGTAAGATCCTCAATTTTTGCTTCTAGTTATTATTCGTTACATAAGTATTGCCGTTCTTCTTAGTTGCAGATAGTCTTACTACGTTTGCCACTTCGTAATGTACGTTAGATGTACCACTTCAGACTGTTATTTGGTTATGTTGATCCTCTGACGAATAGGTGTCGCTTCTTCAGAGAAATAGGAGCATAGTTTTTTCCATACCTCACTAAGTTATAGACAATCTAGGAAATAAGACATGCCCATATGTCACTTTTCGACAGAAACGGGACATGATTAATATGCCGATTTTATTATAAAAACGGTCATCGATATTGCATGACAGGTCATCTCAGCATTCCGATATATTGTCAGTTAATTGGGCAACTTTGTAGAGAATTAAAAATACACCAAAGTTCGATACATTAAAAAAAGTCATTAATAGTTAACAAATAAGACATTGAGGACAATCAAACTCATAGAAGGTTTCCTTTTTTAATTATCAGTATTATACTATTCTTTAAATACTCAGAATCGACGACATATAACAACATGCGTTGTAAGCGAGCTTATCAGGTCAATTTTACTCTTTTTTTGATATAAGTTGTCGTACTATGTGAATAATAGGTTAAATGAATAATAACAGGAGGTTGCAACTAACAAAATCTTCGCACAAGCCGACAGTTAAAAATAAACTAATTCGGCGGATAGTTCTTCATGACAATCTCATTTCGAAAAAAGAACGACAAGGCGTCGTATTGAAGAGAACAAATAAAAAAAAAATCATTTTACAGCTGTAAATAACACTGTGTATAATAAAAAGCGTATAGTTACCGTCTGCTAAACTGCCAGTATAAGCGGATTTAATACAGGCAGTTTATCTACAGTTCAGGACAGGATTAATAAATATGGCAAATTTTATTGAAAGTTGGAGTAACGTTATAATAGACTTATACACTTGTAATTAGCAGGATATAGGATCACAGTTAGTTCAATTTATAAAACTTTCAAATATAAATTTGAATTTTTACACAATCTTTTAAAAACAATGAAATACCCTAGTGAGAGTAAATTTCATTTCTACTCTGTATTCATGACATAAAAATCTTTCAAGGACAATGAAAATACCTACACGTTATTTATTACCAGATTTTATTTGTTTCTCAGCCGTTAGGCTTCTTATTTGAATGATCTATTATGAATATGCATATTAATATCAAATTTACAATCTTATAACTGATTTATTCCTGATTATTATTTATAACATTACTTATTCTGTGGCATTTAGAAAAAACAAGCACAACCAAACTTGTATAATGTACTTGTATGTGAAAAAAAAAAATTAGTTACTGCATAGGTCACGTGGTAATCCAATCATGTTCTAAATATATTACTTATAGACATTACAGACTTTAAAATTAACATTTCAATTAAAAAAAAACAGTGATTTTAATGATAACAAAATTAATATAGGGACCAACATGAGGGACATTAATTCCAAAAGGAATAATGAAATTCGATTTAAAATTGGCGTATATATGTATATACACATAAAATAAGGATAAATTAAGACCCTCGTTAAAAGCTACTAAAAATATACGACAATCAAGGATTTCTACTTCTGAAATTTTTTAAGAATATACTGTACTTACTGGGGTCACAAGCATATGGAGTCAAATCTTTGACACCAGCTTCTGTGACGATGTCATCGTCGAGGGCGAAGTTTCCTGTGTAAGTTTTCGGGTCTCTGTGAAAATTTTAATTAAATCTTTATAAGAAAAAACAAAATCTAATCTGTAAATGTGCTGCACAGTTTAAAATTTAAGAATGATTGGACCAATTCAGCGTTTCTTCTTTTCAATATTAGTTGAACTCCGACGAAGGGTCTTATGTGGTTAAAAATTAAAAAATACCGAGAACTCCATTTTTATTTTTCCCTTACAAGTTGTTCCTAGCTGATAATTCTAACATTACAATTAAATATTGATCGAAATTTTGATGCTGCTGCCTATCAAGAGATGAACAGCAGTGTTTCTTTTAAAACGTAGCCTTAAAACCAAAGCCTGTGTTTTTATAATTCTATGCATACCTAAGGCATGTTATTATAGTATTCTTGTGCAAAACAAGATATTTTCTCTACTTTCTTTTTTAATTTTAATATAAATTTCGGAAATATAAAGTTCGGGATTTTCGCAAAATCATTCTGGTTAAACTGACAAAGGAAAATCTAGTGTTGATCCTTAATCATTCCCAAACAATTATAGTACAAAATAATAAACTGATTTTCAAAATTGTCTTAAGCTGACCAAAGTCATAAGAGAAGATTTGCCGGTTTTGAAGTCTTTCAACTTTTCCTAATAGATTGTTAACATTGCTACTTACTTCAGGTTGACCTTTAAGCGATTCCCCTTGGAAACCATCCTGGTTAATTCTTGTGGAATTCACCACGATAGGCTAATTTATCTGCTTTTATCCTCACCTATCATCTCTCACTGGTGCCCTACCAGCGTATACCGATAGCGCAGGCGGGGTAACCATTCCATCCTCACCCATTAAAAAAAAATAGACTGCAACTGTTACGTGTTCTAATAAATACAATAAAAAAGAACTTACTTGCATAGCATCACATATGCCGCATCTGATACGATGTCAACTTTCCTACTGGTTGACGTGTCACCGGTCAGCATTTCAATGGCGGCTGTGGCGATGGCTGTGCAAAAACATTACTATTATAATTTTAAGTGTTACAAAATCAAATGGTCACCAAGCAAGGATACCCTGTGTTATGAGGAACCAGGCAATGAACACCTGAGGACACAATCTAGAACATCCAAAACCGAAGCAATTCGTTTACTAAACTAGGGCGACAGGCAAATGGAACCCTTTACGAAGGATTTATACAAAGCAACATGGCCGCCACTGCACTCGGAGTTCGTCATTATAACTGTGTTATTTCCCCGCATTGATGTGATAACCTTATTGTAACAATATAAAGAGTAGGGGGAAAAGGATTATTAGCAATGGAGTTTGACAGCCCCATTGCTAGCAATATACCTTATTAGGTCGACCTCCACGTGGTTCCTGAAAACCATCGTGAACAATTCTTGTTGAATTCGTCACGATGGGCTAACTGACCTGCTTCATCCTCATCTATCATCCTTCATTGGTGCCCCACCGGTGTATACCGATAGCGCGGGTGGGGTTACCATTCCATTATCATCCATTTAAAAAAAAAATAAAGAGTAACGGAAACAACTATCCCAAACTCTGAATATCCTTTTATGTATAGTTAACATTTCTGTTGTGGTAAAATTTGTTTCTTCATTCACGTTAGTTACTACATTTTTCATTCCTGTGATGCCAGTAAAAAGCAACTAAGAGAGAAAACATGGTTGCTAGCAATATACTCATCATAAGCTACCTGATCACCGTCGATTTATAGTAAGCTAATATGTGGGGAAACTGGTATCCAGTACTGGATCATCAGTTGTTCTGGTTATGGCTGTTGGTACTGAAAATAAATCGATTAATTTACTTAGTAGAATGACAGTACCTGTGCGTGGCCACAGTGCATTGACACCGATGTTGAACTGTTTGAATTCTTCCGCCATTCCTAATACGCACATGGACATTCCATATTTGGCCATCGTGTACGCTACGTGGAGAGAGAACCTAAAACATAAATTATAATAATTATATTCAGAAATACTTTCTAAATTATTGGCAGACTGCACAAAGGTGTCAAATTGCGAATCGTATCATAGGCGATATAGTACACTCTGTTATATCCATGATACTGCTCATGTCTATAGGTGACTGTTACCACTTTCCATCAGGTGAGCCGTCAGCTCGTTTGCCATTCTAAGTTGTATAAAAAAAAATTTATAAATTCTTTCTTTTGCAGACGACTGTGTTGTCCGTACTTAATGTAGTTGCTATGTAGATACAATATATATTTATATTGTGTATTGCCTTAATTTGTTATTATAACTGTCACATATTTTTCACCACATCTGCCCTTCATACGCTTTCTGTTTACCCAATGGTTAGCTGGTAGAGAATACCATATGGCATTAAGCTCGCCATTTGTACAAAGTTTTATTGTGCAATAAAGAATAAATAAATAAAAAAATACAAGGTTAAAAACTTGTATTTTTTTACCCGCGGTTTTGTCCGTTTGAACAGGATGTGTCGTTTGACCAAACTTAAAGTAAACTATATCTTTTTCAGTTTCAAACATAACCTGTATATTTTAAATTTCGTGACGACTGATTGATCCGTGAAGCTGATAAGAGGTAACAAACAAACAAACTCACTTTTACATTTATAATCATCATACCATTCATTAACTGTCCACTGCTGAACACAGGCCTCCCCCATAAAGAGGGTTTACAGGTAGTTGCCGCGTTTGGCAGACGCATGGCAGGGTTGGCAACCGCAGTTAAACTTTGGAGCCGTTTTGAAAAGGAATTACTATGTTTATAATATTAGAAAGGATTCCAATAAACTTACCAATAAGGGTTCATGTTGAGGGGCGGAGACAAATTTAGGATGTGGGCATGATTGCTGTTCTTGAGATGTGGCAAACATAGCTTCGATCTGAAAATGTAATAAAATTAAAATTTCTATAGCATTTTGACGACTTTATATTTAGGCGACGGTTACCATTTTCCATCAGGTGGGCCGTCAGCTTGTTTGCCATTCTAAGTTGTATAAAAAAAAGACTTCCGTGGTGCTGTGCAGACATGAGCCTTTCCATAAACGAGTTTCAAATTCAAATCTCAGTTACAGTACAGTTAATTTAGGATATTATTTTTTTAAAATAATTTATCAGTGTTACCATGCGCACGAGAAAGAAGACGCCGGACGTCACTCTGAACCTATCTCATACATGAAGTAGCGATAATGTCTCTATCAATAGATCGTGTTATCTTAATTTAGAGAAAAGGCAATAATGTGTCTGATTGTTTGGCGCTTATTTTTAATAAAGATTTCTAAGGTACAATTTTTAATTTAACTATTTAATTATCTTGGTTAATTTAAATTCCGTTATGGTAGATTGTTTATAAGTACTTATTTTTTTCACATAATGTGTAATCAATGTAACAAATCAATAACTATGCGGTAGATAACATTTTCAGTAACATGGTCTAACAGCCCCATTGCTAGCAGTATCTGGACGACCTCCACGCCGAGTTCTCTCGGAAACCAATGTAGTTAATTCTTATGAAATTCTTTACGATAGGCTAATTGACCTGGAGGTCTACCATGAAATAAAATTACGAAATTTCGGACCCAATTTCGTGTTTTCGTTCATACAGAAATCGTCGCAGTAAATGAAGCTTAACATTTCATTCATTATAAATCCTATTATAAAAGTCTACAGGAACGATATTTTAATGTATTTAATATTTTTAAACGGTAGATATTATGTAATTTGAACCTCAAATTTCTGTTTCGTTCGCCCGCGATATTTCGGAAAACATTTCCTGCTTTCATCCTCACCTATTACTATTCACTGGTGCCCCGCCAGCGAATACCGATAGCACAAGTAGGTTTTATCACCCATTAAAAAAAAAAAAAAAAACTTATTTGAACAATGGATTTTATAAATAAGCATTTAGTACACATTTATATTTATAAAAATATAAACGATACAATTAATCCTTGTAATAAATAAATATTTACTTTAATAAGTAATTAATTAGAGAATATTTACTATTAATGAGTGATATCGAGATATTTATATCGTTATAAACAATTACAATTATGATTTATTATGTGTAATTGACGTAACTTGCTCGATATTTTTGTATGATATTATGTAATATAAACTATTCTATTTCATGGATTACTATAATCTAATATATAAAATTCTCGTGTCACGGTGTTTGTTACCAAACTCCTCCGAAACGGCTTTACCGATTTTTATGAAATTTTGTGTGCATATCGGCTAGGTCTGAGAATCGGCCAACATCTATTTTTCATACCCCTCAATGATAAGGGTGACCCACCTCTAAATATTTTATTTTTTTGACAATTTTTTTATTTTTATTTTATTATGACTTAGCATTGAAAAATACATACAAATTCAAATTTTCACCGTTTTACGATCAACCCCTGTTTTTTAATCGCGATTTTTATATGCCTCAAAAGGGTTACAAGATAGCAATCGAATATAATAATTGTAGTACGAGAAAATTTCATGTATAGTTCTAGAAATAATGTATATGGTAAAACAACGTTTGCCGAGTCAGCTAGTAATTATATATATGTATACATATACATGTATGTATTTTATTGTAAATTGTCTACTTAGCACATTCAGTAAATCCTTAAATTATACCATTACCAATTGCTAGAACAAAATTATTTTTAATGTAATGAGTAATGTAATTTTTTTAATTCTTATTATGATTAAATTTAATTAAAATATTCCAACCTTGTTTACGCATTAAATATATCAGGAAAAAAAAAAAACAAATTACATACTTTACTGACCTTGGGAATGGGGGGAGAGGGATATAGAATCATTATATATTATTAGCCATATCTCACCCTTCAAACCAAAACACAGCCATGTAAACACAACTGCTTCACGACTGAAAAACGAATGGGACAGAGGTACCCAAGCAATCGACTTTTGTACAAAGTCTCCCTCTAGTGAGGGAGACTTTAGAATATAGATAAGTAATATATCTAATAATAAATATGAAATTATTTCTAAAATGCTGCAATTTTTGTTTATTTTTTTTTTCCATTTCAAAGAGAAGTATTTAGATTCTTTTTTCTTTATTTTATTTTTATATACTTACGCTAAGAAGGTACCCCTCGTGTTAATATTATGCATCAGGTCGTATCGCTTCATGTCGGTGTGCGCTGTATCGGTGAGTGTGATGGCCGATGCATTGTTCACTAATATATCAATACCATTGAACTGAAAATATAAGAATTTCATAATTTAATATTTTTTTTGACGTAAAATAAAAAAAATATATAATTACAGGGTTAAAAAAGTCAAACCTTTTATATACCTATTTTAGCTATTCAACTGTTTTGACGTTTTGAGGTCTCTTTCTTTTGCGCTAATTAGTCAATTTGAAAGAAAGTGACATAACAGTGTAATAGTTAAAATTTTTATTTTAATTTTTATTTTTATTAATTTTATGAATGAGGGATAGTATTTTTTTTATACAACTTAAAATGGCAAACAAGCTGACGGCCCACCTGATGGAAAGTGGTAACCGTCGCCTATAGACATGAGTAGTATAATGGACATAACAGTATACTGCTTCGCCCATGATACACCCCATGCGTTGCCATTCCTGAGGACTCAGATGTTATTCCTCTTTACCCTGTAACTCCATATCCCACCCTTCAAACCGAAACACAGCCATGCAAACACAACTGCTTCACGGTAGAAACACGAATGGGACAGAGGTACCCAAACAATCGACTTTTGTACAATAATAAATTACATTTACTTAGATGTACTAGCCACCAAAGGCCGAGCCTGTATCTCAGTGGACAGTTAAATAACTTCTAATCCTAAAAATAATCCTCACAAATATTATAAATGTGCTATTTTTGTTTTCTGTCGCCTTAACGGTTGAATCAATAATGACATTTAGTGTTATTTAAAAGGGAATAGGCTACTTTTTATTCAAATCAATCAATATATCCGTTACACAGATGTAGTCGCAGGTGAAAACTAGTCGAGTATATTTTAGTTTGAAGGCCAAATAATAAGTATAAATTTAATAGTTGTTTACAAACGACATAATTTGGCACACGCTCGGTGGCGTCCTAACTAGCATATCAGTGGGATCAGTTGGGCAGGGGGGAGGGGGATTGTTAGTAACCAAGACTAGTGGCTCCCCCCTGAAAACCCGGGGGATAAAGGCTTGTACTTATAAGGTCTAACAGCGGGGGGGAAAGGATTGTTAGTAATGCAAACTACCAGTCCCATTACTGGCAATATACCCTGTCAGATCGACCTCCACGTGGTCTCCCCTGGAAACTACCGTGCTGAATTCCAAGTGTATTCATTATGTTAAGCTAACTGACCTGCCTTTTCATTCTCACCTATCATCCCTCACTGGTGTCCCGCCAGCGTATACCGTTAGTGCAGGCGGGTTACCATTGCATTATCATCTATTAAAAAAAAAGGTCTAACAGCTCCATTGCTAATAATAAACCCTGTCAGGTTAACCGCCGCACGGTCGCTCCTAAAAACCGTTGTGGTAAGTTGTCTTAACGTATTCATTACAATGGCCCAACTAACTGTTTCCTCACCTAGTATTTCTCACTGGTGCTCCGCCAAACAAGTAATAGTACTAGCATGGTTACCATTCTATTCTCATCCATTAACAAGAATATCAATAGGTAAATTAGTCTCTCAAGTTATATATACGCACAACGGCCCAAATGAGAGGCTAAGTGTAGAAAAGAGAGTCCAATTTACATTACATTAAACAGTCTCTCAAGATCGACCTGGTTAAGGTTTAATCGACGTCTCAATTTGAAAGTAAGCTATATATAATTAGTTCAATCGATTTAGGTATATAAATTTATGAGCCAGCTCTATGACAACAAGCATATTCACAAATCATCAACATTAAAAGATAAGATTTACGTGTAACAAAAACAAGTACGAAATACTGATTACACAAGTACAGAGGTACGCGAAATGCAATTCTTAGTATCCTTATTAATATGTGAAAGTGACTTTGTACAAAAGTCGATTGCTTGGGTACCTCTGTTCCATTCGTGTTTCAACCGTGAAGCAGTTGTGTTTGCATGGCTGTGTTTCGGTTTGAAGGGTGAGATATGGCGTGAATTTACTGGGTACAGAGGAATAACACCTGAGTCCTCAGGAATGGCAACGCATGGGGGTATCATGGGCGAAACAGTATACTCTGTTATGTCCATGGTACTGCTCATGTCTATAGGCGACGGTTACCACTTTCCATCAGGTGGGCCGTCAGCTTGTTTGCCATTCTGTTGTATAAAAAAAAAAAAACTTTGTTACCTTGTAGTGTTAAGCTATTAAAGGCGTAACCAATCAATATGAAATCTGGTATATGCATATTACGAGATGGAGAGGGAGATAGGCTACTTTTTATCCCGGTTTTTTTTTTAATGGGTGAAAATGGATTGGTAACTCCACCCGCGCTATCGTTATACACCGACGAGGCACCAGTGGAAGATGATAAGTGAGAATGAATGCAGGTTAGTTGACCCACTATGATGAATTCGACAAGAATTAAACATGATGGTTTCCAGGGAGAACCACGTGGAGGTCAATCTGAGAAGGTATATTGCTAGTAATGGGGCTATTAGACACATTACTAACTATCCCTTTCCTCCCTTTTTATCCGGGTTGGGGCAAACACAAGGGGGGGGGGCAAAGGGATTGTTAGCAATGGAGTTTGACAGACCCATTGCTAGCAATATGCCCTATTAAGTCGACCTCCACGTGGGAACCACTGAAAACTATCCTGAACAATTCTTGTTGCATTCGTCACGATAGGCTAACTGACCTGCTTTCATCCTCACCTATCATCCTTCACTGGTGCCCCGCTGGTGTATACCGATAGCACGGGTGGTGTTAACATTTCATTATCACCCATTAAAGAAAACCCGGTCACGTGGACGTAGTAAAACTAGTACGATATGTTTCGTACTAGCATTAAAATGCTGTGTGTTTCCGGCATAGATCACCCCTACCTTTCCCGTAGGTTTCGTAAGGGGCAACCAAAAGGAGGGCGAGAGATGAGCAGCAGCGTCTCTCTTAAAACATCTCCAAAGTCTAACTGCAGTTACCAATCCGCTTACCAAGCGTGGCAACTACTGGCAAAACAATGTATGGTATGATTGATTCTATTTTATAGGTCTTCAAAAAATCTAGTAGTCTATCTTTTAAGGATAGCTTAATATACTTATCTAATTCATACCCGAAACAAGCTAATGTAAAAAAAATTTAAGCATATATGTTTTACAACCTGTGCAAAGCCAGGGCGGGCCGCTAGTATTATATAAGGATAATTATTCTTTAAATTACCTTTTTGGCAGCATCATCAACAGCTTTTTGCACTTGTTTCTCATCCCTCACATCCACAATACATGGCAAAGCTTTCCCTCCGAGTGCTTCAACTAAAAACAAACAAAATTATTACAAATGCACTTTTGTATTCTTGCATAAATTGTCAAAATTCTATCATTAGATTCGATAATATCTTATCTAAAGAGACAGGAGTGAAGAAGAAGAGGGAGGGGATTTTTTTGTGATAGAAACTAGCAGTCCCATTGTTAACACACATATTTGTCCACATATTTCCCATGAAATTGATGTGGTCAATTCCTGGTGATTTCAGTTTCAGTCAGCCAGTAAATGAGCAAGTCAAGTTAACATATCATTCCTCACTCTACCAGCATATACCAATATACCACATTAAATTAACGTTTCATTTTCTCCTATCTAAAGAAACCAGAACGTCATTTAATCTTATTATTTTCCTCCAGTCAAGGTCAATGATAAATGATTGTATTTATCGATAATTTATTATATATAAGTCACTTAATACAATAAATTTATTAAAATATCATGTTTTATATACCCTATAGGTTTAAACAAAATGATAAACATTTATTTATGTTTATAAATTTAACATATAGTCTAGAAAACAATTTAGATAAAGTAGATTACCTAAGGTTATATATATATATACTATATCATAAAGTATTTAATAGTTAGGTATATCAATTATTATATAAAGATTTAAACTACACTTTCGAGCCTATTTATGAGCTATAAGTGTATAGTCCTATTTTTTAAGTTTTAATGTAAATTTATGTTAACAACCACATCTCTGTGGATCAGAAATTAAAATTAGGCACAAAGATATTGATCAAATTCAAACACCCAAAGACTAAGGCCACGGCATTGTCAATAAAAATAAATATCTCAAGAAAAGTAAAGGAACAGAGGTCGACCAAACAGACAGTAGGTAGATGAAGAGGTAATGGATCATGTGGAAGGAAAGAGAGGAGGCCTATGCCAAAAAGGTGTCTACTCCAAATTAGAACTTAAAAAAGTATGAGTTGGGGAAGAATAAATGGCTATTTTATTTCATTTCACTAAATAGTCTCAAACTAAATAGAGTTTATACTTTAATTATTAAAAATACTTTTTCGTAAGTACACTATGTATGAATAATGCACAATAAAGTAACTGCTCTGTTAGACCCATTGCTAGCAGTTAATATATTGTATTAGCAATATATCTTATCAGATGGACCTTCACATCATTGGCCTTGACTAGGCGACTACCATCCATCCTGGTTAAAAATTGTTTAATTTATCATGATGAGCCAACTGATCTGCTTCATTCTCACTTATCATCTCACACTTTTTTCTTTTATGGGTGAAAATGGCATGGCACCCTGCCTGCGCTATCTGTATACACTGGTGGTGTACCAGTGAGAAGTGATAAATTAATGAAAAGGCAGGTCAGTAAGCCCATTATGATAGTTAATGATAAATAAGTTACAATCATTTCCAGGGGGAATAGCATGGAAGTTGACCTGATAGTGTGTATTGATAGCAATGGGGACTAGCCTCACCATTACTAACAATCCCTTCCTCTCCATCGTCTCACACTAGTCTCCACCTACACATACTAATAGTGCAGGTGAGATTAGGATTCCATTCACAACCATTAAAAATATATACAAATCAGAGGGCAAGGAGATTGTTAGTAAAAGCATCTAACTACGAAATTACTAGCAATATACTATATATATAATATAGCAATATACTATATATATAATATAGCAATATACTATATATATAATATAGCAATATACTAGCTATAGGTATAAGGTTGAATTCCATGCAGTTTCTCCTGGAAAGCTTTCTTGAGGAATTCATCACCATTCGACTAACTAGCCTGCCTTCATCTCCACTATTATCTATCGCTAGTAGCCTGTCTGTGTATGTCAATAGCGCAGGTGGGGTTACTATTCCAATTTCACTCATAAAAAAAAAATAAGTCACAAATACAAGTATGTGTACTGTAAAAAAAATACTAAAGTAGATCAAGTGCTCAAAAAACCAGTTCTTTTAAATTTTTAAGTATGAAACTCTTAAGTTATTTAATATATTTAATTTTGAAATATTAAGTTGAAAAATATCTCAAATGAAAAGTTAACATTTAAAAATATATTCTCATAATATTAATATACATATATTCATATACAGGTTGGAAAGGACAGATTGGCCAAAACAAAAACAGCTGATCGTGATGAATGGTCTTGACAAGATGTACCTAAGTACTTGACACTGAATAAAAAAAAATAAGAATATAAATACTTCAATAAAACAATAAATTGAAATGATTAATAATGGACAATAAGAATTGAAAGTAAAAGTAAAAATGTATATGAACAAATAAATTTTTAATAATTATGTTATAATCCTATAGTACAAGTTCAAAGTCCAAAGTAACAATTGTATTCAAGGTAAGTGTAAGATGACACAAAAACTATGAGAATTAGAGATGAGACTTTGAGAATAATAAATGGACTTACTCTCTTCAGCTGCCGTGTAAATAGTTCCTGGGAGTTTTGGATGCGGTTCAGCAGTTTTAGCGGCAATAACAACGTTGGCACCATCTTTTGCAGCTTTTAAAGCAATAGCTTTTCCGATACCACGGGAGGCGCCAGTAATAAACAGCGTGCGACCCGCTAATTTTCTAATAAAAAATATATAAAGTCAAATATATGTGAAAGTGGTACAATAAATAAAGTTACTCCATAATATATTCACCCAGTATTAGCCACTAAACTCATGTTCGATGTGTAATAGACGACGGTATTGAATGACCACCTTCTTTAATATATAAAAACAGAATATTTTTATCTTTTGATAATAATTCAGTTTATTACTATTCAATTTCTTATATGATAATAATTACTGAAAGAATAATTTCTAGTGATCACTACGTGTAATAGGTAGGTAAGCACCTAAGTAGGTAAAACAGACAGATAGAGACAAATGTAGGGCTTTTATTTATGTCGGCAACCAGCGCTTATTTCTCATTTGCAGTCATTCAATCATTCATGAACTATGAATAACATCAGGGTATTGTCACTTGATAAAAAAAAAGGTTGTATTAAATCTATATAACTAATCCAATTTTTGTGTTAGAAAATAGCTAGGTCATATACAATATCTATTAATATTAGTATATAATCGAAAGTCATATTATAAAGAGTTTAGCAACAGTAAGAAATTAAATGATTTTATTCTGTTATTGATACTAGATGGTTACCCAAACTATTTTTAACTTTTTTTTATAATAAGCAGTGTTGACTCTTAAATAATGTATGTAGTAGTGAATGACGTCGGTAATTTTTTGAAATGATTGAAGCGGAATGACGGTTTTGTTACCAGATATATCCTCTATCTATGGTTGGAAATGATATTGTCTAAGGTTATTGGTGCTATTGCAACAGAGGAGAAGATATTATGCACAGAGCGAGTAATATTATGTTACTACGTTATAATATGTGTTCTTCTTTTGCCGCTTTATCACAAATGAGTCTGTTAATTGCAAAAAAGTTATTTAATCCATTAAAAAATTATGTTTGCTGATATATGCAATCGCCTGCCAGGTATCTTGTTTACCGATAGTAATGGGTTCAATCCTCGCAAAATTCAAACATTTGTGTTCACGACAAAAAAAAGTATTTAATTTTATTTTTTATGTTTACATAATAGATGTTTATAGGATGAAAATGAAATAATAATCACCTCTGGTAACAGTATGTATACTTTGGTGTAGCATTAGTCTAGGGAGTGTCACAGTAATTGCTCTAGTAACGGAATTTATCAAATTCGATATTGTATTTACTTTTCACTGAAGAGAGTGACTGTGCGACCAATAAAAACCAGGGCACTTAGCACTACGATGATTACGTAGCTATAAAAAAAAATACATAGGACCATCAAAAAGCTAAGGCTGAACTTGGATACAGAATGAAAACTTAACTCGGGCAATGCTCCGAGTGGCAATATTACGAAATGGAGATCGATTAACTATTAAACTGGGTTCAACATTCTGCTTGGGGGGGAAGGGATTGTTAGTAATGCGGAATAACAGTTCCTTTGCTAGCAATATACGTGATCGCCCCTGCATACCATCGTGATAAATCCCAGGTGTGTTCATCACTGCCTTTCATTCTCACTTATCATAACTCACTGGCGCTCCGCCGGTTTATTGTTAGCGCGAGCGGGATTACCATTCCATTACCATCCATTAAAAAAACATTCTGCTTAAACAGATACTTATATCTGTTTGAGCAGATTATAAGTCCTTAGACTTATTTTTGTTTATCGTGAATGTAGTATAATTGTATAAGGTGTATCGGGAGAAAGAGATTGTTAGTAATGGGAGTCTAACTGACCCATTGCTAGCAATATACCCTATCAGGTCGAACTCCACGCGGTTCTCTCTGGAAACCATCGTGGTTAATTTTAGTAGAATTCGTCACATGGGCTGACTGATCTTCTTTCATCGTCACCTATCATCCTTCACTGGTGCCCTGCAGCGCATACCGATAGCGCGGGCGGGGTTACCATCCCATTATCACCCATTAAAAAAAAGATGTCACTATCAAGGGCGTCAAATATACATTTGCCCGTAATAGCAAAATATTATTTATATTGACTCTGGATTGGGTTAAGAAAAAAATCAGTAGATTTGAAATACATTTATTTTGTGCATCACTTCCACACTCCAATTCATTCTAAACTCTAAAATACAACACCGGATAGGGTGAATATTACACAATATTCTAAAATAAAATCTATAGTTTATTAATATCATAAGACATTTATTTAGGCTTCATTACAATTGCAACCTTTTTTTTTTTTTAAATAATTATGGCTCGAATCGATTTATTTTCTTTCATTACTAGGTTTTAATACTTCATTCTAATTTACATTCCTTTGTACACTGGCACTAACTACATAATGTACACCGCGGAGTTAATGTTAACACAGTAATATTACTATTTGAGTATTACTATATAATTTATAACAATATACCCTTTCATTTTATAAGGGCAAGTACTAATGTACATTGAAAGATACGTAAAATACTCCCTACTAATTAGTTAGAGATCGGAAAATGTGATATTACAAAAATATTATTAGAGGGCAAATTAATTGAATGCTAAGTTATTTTAACAAAACAAATGACACATATACGAGTATATCGTATAGCAGAAAATATAACAATCTATTTAATGTTCGAAACATTGTCTTAAATATTTTATTTACACAAAATATGTACCATTTTTTTTTTCAATTATTATGAAATTCTCGTATATTATATCTATACACTATATACCCTAGCAAACATTCTGTAAAAGTGTCATTTCGAATACTTTGATTATGTAGACAATTTTTTATTGATATATTAATTCGTGGAGTTCAGAACATCCATTGTTTATAAAATGTGTGACAGATAAATTCACAAGAAATAAGATTAAAAAATACATATAATTCTTGCTCCTTTGTAGGCAAACCCTGTTTTCCTAAGAGATATGAATATTATCAGAATGATTTCCAAATTAATGAGGCACTTTTATAGGAGTTTGTATTGATACAGGGATGGAATTGCGTTAGATAAATATTAAAATGTTTTTTTATTTACTTTTTTATAAGTATTGGTTTCAAAATAGAATTTACTTTCTTCCACCTACAATGTAATATGTCTTCCCGTGACGGTACTTAAAGTCTACAATATAGATTAGGTAATTACCTACCTAATAATAGAACGACGAAGAATCGAGTCCATCTAGACAGGATAAAAACTATTACAACAGTAAAGATTTGTCAGCCTAACTAGATATCTAGTAAATTTATGAATTCATTATTTTCATTTTCAATTTCTCTCTTTGCAGACGTAAGCGATATAATTTTTTTTTTTACAGTGAAAAGCACCATAAATTCTGTTTTAATATTTTCTATTAATTACTCACAACTTCGACTTAACTATTTAAAGCATCAACATAATTAGAATTGGCACCAAAATAATATACTCGTATAGTATCAATTCATAGTTTCTATCTAATGTGAAACAACGATAAATCCTGTACATTACTAGCTCACAACACACTCGTAAGTCTTTATATATATGCTGGTTGTTTAGCCGAATGTTGCAAAGCTGCTAGGACGTCGTGTTTGAGTCTAACATATAAACGCCCTTTTCGCCATGGATTTTGTAACTGGAGAGGTCTAAAGTCATCCCTAAGACACCTTTCCCTCGCTCCAATGACAGCGACCAAGCAGAAGTCTTGGAGTTTCTCAGGGCCGTACACTGGGCCCGATTTTCCCTTCAAGACGGCAGCCATGTTGAGTTGTTTCACAACTAGGTCGATAACTTCACGGGCTGATGTGCGCGGCGTTACATGAAGTTTCAAAGATGTACCAGCCGCTAAACCGGTTTCATAGGCAGCGAATACCTGAAAATAAGTGAAATTTATATTACAAATCGAATTATTTTTTCATTAATTGGCATCTTTTTCATATACTACATTGTTTTTCTAAATATGAAGATTATATGATTAAAATTTTATGTAGATGCAGAAATGTAATTGTCGATAGATTTTTTTAAAGAAAATTTAAAACAGGTTATTATGTTTTCATTTGTTATAGAATAACTGATACATTGATATTTTTTATACTATTTTGAACTTTTCCTTTATTTCCTGTATGCTTTATTATTCTATCAAATTTAAAATTATGTATTAAATAAATCATTATAGTAAAGAAACATCTCACCTGTAATATACCTGGTTGGTCAGGAAGCCGTTCGTCTGAAGCTGGATTAACGCGTTCTTCGTTATCACACCTCTCATCAGTCTTAGGAACCTTATTGTTATACTCGGTGTCTTCTTGTGTCTCCAATAACGGTTGCCGTTTGACGCACAAATTCGTTTTAGGATACATTTCTTGACCAGTGTCCGTATAATCAACATCCGACGATTTCACATTAGTCATGCTCTTTGAAGCGATTACGTTGCACGAAGTCCTATAATGCTTTCCTTGCGGACGGATTTTTAAAGGAACTGATGTTATTGGACAGCTTTGGCTTTCTGAGTCACTCGATAGACTCTGGGCGGATTCGGAGACGTTGCATTTGGAGGCTCTCATGCTTATCATGCTTCCTGGATAGTAACCTTTCACGGTGAGTAGAGGACTTGAGGAATTTGATACGCTAGTGTTAATACTGTGTGGACGTGGTTTTTGATCGACGTTTTCATTCTGAAGCACTAAGGTGTCTTCGCTCCTAGAAGGTGGCAAGCGAGTGTTGCTACACTGTGAACCGGTAGATTTTATATCGAACTGCGAGTTACTGCTCACGTAATTATTACTCATAGCACTCGATTGGGTGAACTGAGAGTCTGCACTGCTTTTTCTACTTGTGTATTGGTTTTCAGCGTTCAAATATTGTGAGCTAGTTAAATTAAGTGTCGATATAGATGTCTGTCGGGGCGCCAAGCTGAGTTGCTGTTCAGATTTACTAAATTCTGGGTGTAAATTCGCATGATTCCCATTGCCAGCTGGTCCCGGCCATGACCCTCGTCCGGGTGACATCTTGGTGATCTTACCATCTCTCGAAGGTATTTGAAGGAGGTCTACCTTCAAATTGGAGTCTTTATCGCTGGTGCCGCTAATATCAGGGTAATCTTTATTTGTCTGTGACGCCGCTTTATCAAGAATATATTTCAGGAGTATTCCAGAACTTGGCACCGCTTTGTCTTTATCTCTCGCGAATCCTATCAAATCCATAAGCCATCGTTCTGCTTTCCAGATCGCGTTAAGATTATTTTGGAGCTCTTCTAATTTAGTTAATCGTTCTTTGGCTGTCTGCATTTCTGTACAAGAGAAAGCCTCTCTGTGGGAATGGGCGGCTAAAGCTACATCTAATTCTAATATACAACTAAGTTTCGAGTATTTGTTTAAGATATTCGTGTGGTACGTTTGCAGATGTATCATTTCGAAGGCTTGAATCGGTAGACTGAGCAAATCTCCTTTCTGCAGGAGTATCTCTTTCTGCCCAGGTACTGAGCAGGCCTGCTCTGCTGGCGGGCATATCATTACGAAACTGACATCGTTGTTAAGTTCTATGACTTCGAGATCATAAATTCGGTGGGCGATGACACTTTCTATGGGTATCTCCATTTCCTTGAAGAGTCGACGTGCTGCAGACGCGATCTGGTCTAGGAACATTTCTTGAGATTCTGAAGGTTTCTCCTGACTGCCGCTGATGGATACAAGACTGTTTATTGGCTGAACTTCTTCACAGTGTGGTTTGCCTGATTGGTTTCTTAGGTAATCCCATTCTTCACTGTAAAAAACGAAAAAAGGTACATGATAAATTATAAAATCATAATTGAGCGAACATAATATTTAATTCGAGCACTTCGTAAATTACCTTAATTTATCACATCATTATTATAAATCAAGTGACGAAATCAACAATTTGATTAAAAATTTCCATTATGTACTCAGACTAATACTCAAATTTCTCTAGTCTCCTTCTAAAGGATTTTCGGTGTAAACATATTGGAAAATATATTTTATATGTTCAGGATATGGTTTATTTATGTACTAAATTACTATTAGGATTTAAAAATAACTTACGCAGAGACATGAGGGTTCTCTCGCACTCGAGTGTGCGGCGGGACGTTGGGCGTGCGAGCGGGTGCCACTATGCGGACCACCTCCACCGACGACTGCAGCTTCAGGTAACCAAGGTACAATCCTCGGGGCAATTGGACTCGGGACACCTAATGTTAATAAAAATTAAATACATTAAATATGAGAACATTGATTTATAGGCTTCCCTTATCAATGATATTTACTTAAAGTTCGCCCATGGAAATGTGCTGTGTGTTCCATACACACAGGAGTAGGAGTGGACAGCTCAATTCAGTAAGATACGGTGTCAGTAGACTGTGTGTAAAAGAAGGTAGTGCATTTGGTATTTTTAATTGATGATAGTCAAATGGTAACCCCGCCTGCGCCTATTGGTATATACTGGCGGGACACCAGTGAGGGATGATAGCTGAAGAAGAAGTCAGGTTAGTTGGCCCATCGCGACGATTTTGACAAAAATTCATCTCGATGGTTTTCAGGTGGAACCACGTGAGAGTCGACCTGATGAGGTATATTGCTAGCAATAGGGATTGCTAGCAACGTCTCCATTACTAACAATCCTTCTCCCTCCCCAGGATTTGGTACTTAGTCGTGCACAGAACCTATGATTATTTTATCCTCGCCGCCTCTATGAGTAGGAAGGATGGCGAGAGAGTCTGGAACGTAGTGATTTGGTTATGTATGAAGATTATCAGCAGCTAATCATGATGATTATCCTAGATGTGGTTAGGACTAGAAGTAGTAGGCGTAGGGGGTGCCATCAATTTGGCAGGGGGGATAAGGGATTGTTAGTAATGGGAAATAGTAACCCCATTGCTAGCAATATACCCTGTCAGGTCGACCTCCTCGTGGTTCCCCCTGGAAACCACCGTGATTAATTTATTGTTAGATTCGTTACGGTGGGCTAACTGACCTGCTTCATCCTCATCTATCATCCCTCACTGGTGCCACGTCAGTGTATACTGTTAGCGCAGGCAGGGTTACAATTCCATTATCATCCATTAAAAGAAGCCACCAGTTTGGCATCTGGTGGTAGGCGACTTGGTTGTGTTCGAAAGCTATGACCAGCAGCAGCGACATCGCTATGAGAAAGAGTATGTGGTGAGAGGTAATACCTGGTGATAGGCGATCTGGTCGTGCACAGAAGCCATGAGCAGTTCGCCCATTGTGTTGTCGTCACTGAGCACGCGGCGCCGCAGTCGGTTAACGGCGGCCCAGCGCGAGTTCAGTGCCGACACACATTTCGCCGACTTGACACTTGTGACCACTGATATCACCACAGTGCCGTGCGAGTCGCGCAGTGGCTTGTGGTATAATTGTCCTGCGGGAGAAAAGATATATTAGTTCAGCGATTCCTAAAGTGGGTTCCATAAAAAGTCATTAGGGTTCCGTGTGATTATTTATACAGTGCAACAATTTCATTCTTCACATTAAAAGATAAACGAAACTATAAACTATTATATTTTTTAAATGTTTTTAATAAAAGCTCTTGTTCTTATTCAAATTACAGTTCTTTTTTATACCACTGAGGTGGCAAACAAGCATACGGCCCACCTGATGGTAAGCGGTTACCGTAGCCTATGAACGCCTGCCAGAGGAATTACGCGCGCGTTGTCAACCCTGAAGAAACCTCTTTACCCCCTTTTTGAAGAACCCCATGCTGTAGTCTCTTGGAAAAACCTCGGCAGGGAGCTCATTCCACAACCTGAGTGTTCGTGGGAGAAAACATTTCTGAAACCGCGTTGTACGCGACCATTTAGGCTGTAAGTTATGAGGGTAAACTCCCTGTCGATGGCGAGCCGAACGACGATAGAAAGTGGCCGCAGGCATCATATTAAATAATTCCTCTGAGCACAATCCGTTGTACAAGCGGTAGAATATTGTATTGTATATATTGTAATAATTTGGTATGAGGTTCCATAAAATAAAAAGTATTTTGTAGGAGTTCCGTTATCTTAAAAGTTTAGGAACCCCTGTATTAGTAGGTAGACATAAAGATCTATGGCTGTTTGCAATTTTTGCTTTAACCTCAGACGATAAACATTCAACTTTGATGTTGTTATACATATAAAACAAAAATGTAGTACATAGATAGATAGATTCATGTCATTATCATCATCATTTCAGCCATAATCCGTCCACTGATGGGCATAAGCCTCCCTCATAGACTGCCATAAAGAAAGGTCCTGAATCAGCTGCATCTACTGACTCCCTGCAATGCATTTCAGGTCGTCACTCCATCTAGTGGGGGGTCGTCTCACACTGCATTTACACGTACACGGTCGCCATTCAAGAACCTTTCAAGTACTTATAATAAAATTATAAAGTCTTTATAAAGAAATGAAGGCACACCTAAGTCTTGTATGCAGAGAGCTGACTGCATCTGCGCAGCCGCAGTGAGCAGTTTCAGCCTGAAGTGTATAGAGGAAGACGTGTGTTTCTCCATGTCCGCCCGTAGCGCTTTCACGTCGTCCCAGCAACATGCCACCTAACACAAGATCAGAGGGATTAAAAATGTTCGCCGTGTATGAATCGTAAAAGGATTTATTTTGAGGTCGACGAACCCGTCGATGTAAGGGCGAAAGGGATTATTACAAATAGGGTAACAGTCTTGTTAAATAATAATATTATTTATTTATTTGGATTACATACAACACACAAATTATGTATTGTCTATTCTTATGAACATGTTGTGTGTGATTAGTAACAAACAAATAAACGATATATCTATCTATCTAAATAACAACATACATAAACAGTAAAGAGATAAAATAATGTATACACAAAAAAGCTATATATATATATATATATATATATATATATATATATATATATATATATATATATATATATATATATATATATATAAGTTATAATTTTTTTTTCTTCTTTTCTTGCTTACGCGATATAATGGTTACGACTCAGTTTATTATTTATTAATAATAATATCAATATCCTCTATCAGGTCGACCTTTGTCAAAAGGAGACTTTGTACAAACGTATAGGACGTCCTATATTTGGGTACCTTTGTCCCTTTCATGTTTTTGCCATAAAGCAGCTGTATTTGGATGGTTGTGCTTTTTGGCAGTTTGATGGATAGAGAAGAATATGGCAGTAAAATTAGAGGGTACAGAGGCATGACACCTAGGGGTGGGTAATATATAGCAATGCTTGGGTACCTCTGTCCCATTCGTGTTTCAACCGTGAAGCAGTGCATGGCTGTGTTTCGGTTTGAAGGGTAGGATATGGCGTGAATTTATTGGGTACAGAGGAATAACACCTGAGTCCTCAGGAATGGCAACACGTAGAGGGGAATTATAGGCCAAATAGTATACCTACTCTGTTATGTCCATGGTACTGCTCATGTCTATAGGCGACGGTTACCACTTTCCATCAGGTGGGCCGTCAGCTTGTTTGCCATTCTATATTGTATAAAAAAAACCATATGTAGCTCTATAGCTCTATATTTTTTTAGACCCAATATCAATCATATTTCCACAGATAAATGCAAACACAGCTGCTGCACGGTTGAAACACGAATGGGACAGAGGTACCCAAGCAATCGACTTTTGTACAAAGTCTCCCTCTGCATATTTTATATAAATAATTTTATCATTCTTTCAGGAGATCAATAAACAGTTTTTATTAATTCATTTTCTCTACAAAGGACTCGGCATAAATATACTCTTACCTTCATTAGCCAATGGAAGTCTGCATAAATACAAGTGGGATACGTTTCGTCCACCTCGATGACTGGCAGGAACTCCTCACTGGTGACCAGCACCTTGTCCTCGTGGTACAGAATACACGCCAGGTACACACCTCTGTAAATATCAGGCGTTTTAATTTAGACGGGCATTTACCTATGTGACGAGATTGTCATATTCATGTTAGGTATCTTATAATATAAAAATGAGTTACTGTATGTGTTGCTATGCGCAAGTCTCGAGAACAGCTGAATCGATTTCGCTAATTCTTTTTTTAGAATATTCCTTGAAGTAAGAGGATGGTTCTTACGAAGAGAAAAATTCAAAAAATTGCCTGAAAAAGTTTAAAAACAACACTTTTCTATACTCTTATTCAAACGATGTATAATACTTAAAAGTCAATTTGAACTTTAATACCAAACCATAAAGTTCAAGTTCATAAACCATAAAAATCAAGTACGAGGTAAATATGTTTGCCGGGTCTTTTTTTAATGGGTGATGATGGAATATTAACCCCGCCTGCGCTATGGGTATACACTGACAGGGCACCAATGAATGATGACAGGTGAAGATGAAATAACAAGTCAGTTAGCCCACCATGATGAATACACTTGGAAATCAGTACGATGGTTTCCAAGGGGACCACGTGGAGGTCGACCTGGTTAGGTATATTGTTAGCAATAGGGTCCTTAGTCCTTCATTATTAACAATCGCTACCCTATGTTTGCCGGGTCAGGTAGTGTGTGTAGATAACGCTTACCTCCTCAAATTCTTCTGGAACTTGCTAGCCGCAGTGAACAGTTGCCGTATAGTGGCGGCCTTCTTGCGGGTGGCACGAGGCGGTGGTGCAGGCGGTCGCGAGCGAGCGCCCGCTGCAGCGCTCGCAAGCGCTTCAAGCGCTGCCGCCGTACCGCCGCCTTCCCCTCGGATCGCTCTACTTGACACATCACGCCAACCTGATTTAATAATATATTTATTTTAATTCTTATTTCAACAATTTACATATCACATCACTAAGGCAACCGTCACTTAAAAAAAAAAAAAAAGATTAATGTGAAATCTATTTGACCCTTGAATTTGAAAAGTTTAAAGTACATACGTAAGTTTTTATGGCAGATACCTATCGATATTAATATTTTGGAGAGAGGAAGTAACATTGAATAATCATTAATAATTATGTTGATATCTCTATATGGTTGCATAGATTCATTTTTTAGTTTTGTCAATATAAAGGCAGTGCCGACTCTTCTCTTAAATAGTTGTTTTGTGATTAAATTAAGATGATGTCCTCATGATGAACAAATTCATCTGCTTTCATACATCTGATTCCATTCAACATATTTTTGCCTTTATTTTAATTATTTGTATAACGTTTTATCCATATTACTATTTATACTATTATTTACCAGAAGGAGATTTTTACAAAAATCGAATGTTTGGGTACCTCTGTCCCATTCGTGTTTCAACCGTGAAGCAGTTGTGTTTGTATTGCTGTGTTTCGGTTTGAAGGGTGGGATATGGCGTGAATGTACTGGGTACGGAGGAATAACACCTGAGTCCTCAGGAATGGCAACTCATGGGGGGTATCATGGGCGAAACAGTATACTCTGTTATTTCTATGGTACTGCTCATGTCTATAGGCGACGGTTACCACTTTCCATCAGGTGGACCGTCAGCTTGTTTGCCATTCTAAGTAGTATAAAAAAAAAACGTGCTCTTACTCTACTACCTTTCTACTACTTTACTCTTGCGGGGTCATTCCAAAATGATCCATAACATAATAAAATAAAGAACAAATTAAAGGAAATACTCACTACTGGGAACCACACTCCTGGGTACGGAGACTGTGAACGGCCCCCATCCCTTGATATTCCCGGCGGCCGCTCGGAAGAAGTACCGCCTGCCTCTGGTCAACCCGGCCGCTAGAACCCTGGTCCCGTTGTTTGTACCCGAGGCGGCCACGTCACGGCTACCACACACGTTAGAGAAATCCGCGCGGGATGACCACTCCACTGAAATATTTTTTATTGTATTTGTTAACTTAATCAAGCTATTTATCTTACCCACTATATATTAGGAGTCTTTGTACAAAAGTCGATTGCTTGGGTACTTCTGTCCCATTCGTGTCAGCTTGTTTGCCATTCTAATATATATATATATATATATATATATATATATATATATATATATATATATATATATATATATATATATATATATATATATATATATATATATATATATATATATGTATATATATAAACTAGTAGAAATTATAAAATAAAATTGTACTTTAAGTGTGTGTGTAAAGGGACATTTAGCGTCCTGATCAGGTACAAATTGGGACGCGTCCTCAGACCCCTGAAAATCGGGACGTCCCGCTAAAACAGCTAAGAATTAAACGATGTGTTTTATTGCAACGACTCCATTTTTCTTTTACATCACAGGTATGTACTTGTAACTAATATAGTGCTGTCACTGATGTCCTCTATGGGTTACGAGGCTGGAGTGCAAAGGGTTAAAGTTGATACAACACAAACAATGTTGTAGAGTCTCAGTCTACATAGGGAATAATTTCCTCACAACGTTTAACAAAGACAATCTTCCATTATGTCCACATACCCACACATTTCCCATGACGAGACACTTTTCAAACTTGATGTAACAAGCTCCGAGGGATCTTAACAATAAGGAAGCATCCGACGACTGTTAAAAAGTTTATGTTCGCGACTTACAAAACAAAGGTTTTCGTCTAATTTTTTTTTTACGATTGAATTACGCAATACGTTACTAATTTTCACTATTGTTTTTTTGCAATCAATAGAATTTTTTCCGTGTTTATTTTGATTTTATGATGACTGAAATTGCCGTTTTTTATAGCAATTTTTCAATAGACTTCAAAAAGAAAGAGTGTTTGTTTGTGAAACATAATTTTAAATTATTGAACAGTATTTTTTATGATTCTACCTGATCTATGATACGATCTGATATATGATACATCCATTCAATATATTTATCGATAGATTTGTTTACCATTTGTCCATAATCGTCCAGAACCATAATCTCTATTATCATATCGGCCTTTAACTGTCCATTGTTGAACATAAGCATCCCCTTTGAGGGGTTTTGCCAGTAGTTGCCACGCTTGGCAGGTGGATTGGCAATCGCAGTCAGGCTTTAGAGATGTTTTAAGAGGGACGCTGTTGCCCATCGCTCGCCCTCCTTTAGTCAATTCTTACGACATCCATTGGATAGAAAGGGGTGGCCAATTTTATGCAGGGGCACACACAGTAACTTACCTCTATACTTGGTAACAATAGGTGGGTCCCTCTGTGCGGCTGGTGTCACACGAGATTCCTTTAGCCGTACGCAGACTGTGTGGGCACTACATACTTCCAAATCGGGTGGCGGTGGGCCGGCCGGCGGGCGAGACTGTTGCCAGCCTAACAGAAGACGTCTGGAAGATTTAAAAGTAATTTAATTTTAGTTCTATTAGACACCAGACACTTCATAAATTAGTATAAAAACTGTGTGGCCTAATGATGTACATAAAAATGTCATTCGAGACGAGCAGAACTTAATATGTTAATGTCAGATATCTAAGTTTAAAAGACATTTAGATTTAGATCAAATCTCAGACAATTCATAGAATTTCTTAAGTACACATTATATTTTAATGTAATAATCGAGAACGTTCGACTATTCGGGAAAATTAGGGACCTTCGTGTAGTCAGACCCACGTTCGCATTACAGCCGCTCAAGGCCAAGGGTTCCGAATGGTCTCGAAATAAGTCCAGCTTTCTCGATCGAATTACATGTAAGTTAAACCGGTAGTTATAACATTCAAATATAATTCATAGAATTATGGAGACGACGGCAGAATCCGAGGTAAGAATACTCACAGAAGTATCAGTGACTAACTAGGCTAAAAGGTACAGAAAACTAAATGGTAATTGATTGAACACGTAGTTCGGAGCACTAGCAAAATACCCTTTATGGGGGAGGACTATGTTCAGCAGTGGACAGTTAACGGCTGATCTGACGATAGTTCGGAGAACCGACGATTGATCGGGAAGAATACTCTACACTAGTTGCGATCCTGTACAAGCAAATGCACTGTAGGACTCTTCTCTGAATAGAGCGACGACTTCAATTGTGTCGCAGGTAGTCAATGGATGTAATATAGTTTATGGGGAAGGCCTAGGTCGACAATGAATAGGTTTAATAATGAGTACCCTTATCCTATTTAGTAATGATTATTAATAATTGAATTGATTTTAAACGCCATATATATATAATTACTCCTCTCCATCCAAAGGTTGCCTGGAAGAGATCGCTTTTAGCGATAAGGTCGCCCATTGTTTTCTCATTGTGATTATTTCTTGTAATTGTTTACATCTATAATAAGTTAACTATTGTAATCTTTTGGAGGAAACAATAAAGAGTATCTATCTATCTATACACTGTTATAAGGGCTTTCGCCCCTTTTTCATCGTTTTCTTATTTATTATTATTTTAGAACTCACTTTAAGGTTCGCACCCTCCTTTCCCAGTGTTGAGCTTGCTTATCCTTTTCAGACCCAGCACCTCCGGCGCACCCTGTTGTACCAGCCGCTTGACCACCAGCCGATGACCTTGAATAATAAAAGCAATACTAAATTAATTGGGGGAAAGCACTTATGACCAACCTGTTCAGTCAAAAGTACTTTTGAATGATTTTGCTAGTCAATAGTACTTTTTACTGGTTAAGAGTTTTGACTGCAACATATATGCAACATAACAGATACAGAGTAAAATTAAAATAATATCCTTCTAAGAGATATTTTTTTTACTTTTTTTTAAAACATAGAAAATGCACAGATCATAAAAGACATAAATACTTCTTAGTACAAATAGGAAGTATCGTTAAGGGTCAACAACGCGCACGTGACACTCCTGGTGTTGCGTTGCAGGTGTTTATAGGTTACAATACCATCAGACAGAACGTATGCTTGTTTGTCACTATTCTAGTATAAAAATAATAAGAACCTTGTGCACGTATCATCCCGGCAGGTTTTGTCCTGTGCGCAACCGACCACCTCATGGAGTCGCGACTCCGCTTCCCTCACCAACCGACGAAGGTGTGCGCCTAACGCTTCTGGTATTTTAACTGTAACAAAGAAGATATATTTTATAATTAATAATAATCGTTATCATCATAATCTTAGTATAATTGTTTAATTATATAATTAAACTTTTAAAAATGGGACAGCTGAGTTTCTTGTTCGTTGTTCTTGGCTGAAATTGCGTTCCGAAGGTAATGAAAAGTTTTTTTTTACTTTTAAAGAGTAAATAAATTTTCATTTTTTTGAAATGTCATTATATCTGAAGTAAACTGTTAATAATTTAGGATTTATTAATACATATTAAAAATGTTTTCAAATAATTTACATGCACATAATATACTGATTTTTAACATATTCAAAAATAGATAGGCGACCGATATGGGCAATTCCAAAATGGGTGATGACCTTTTATCCGCCATCAATATTCAAAGAAACCTTATATATAGACATTGGACCGGTATCCATACTACCCATGCCTTATGGAAAGTGGTAACAATCGCCTCTAGATATGAATAATATCATGAATATTATAGAATACTCTGTGATACATATAGTATCCCACACGTGTTGTGTGTTCCTAAAGACTTGTTAGCTTGTAATTTCGCTGCTATGTCACCCTTAATATTCCATAATATGTTAATTACTTTTAATGCAACCGATTTATTCTAGTATTTTGTTTTGTAAACATATAGATATTGTAAACAGAAAAATCGTGAGTGATTGCGTAACGTGAGTAGAAAACATTGTACCAGAATAGTTCTGTGAATCGATAGTTTGTGAGTGGAGCAACGAAGCTAATGCCTTCAGGGGCCAACTCTCTTTTGAGCGGATTGGATATTAGCGTATGTTACATACTGTTGTATATGTTTGTTTGTTACGCACGTGCGCTGTGGTAACTATAGGGCTAAGCTATAGGGATTTGGTAAATTAATGGAAATGCGGTTGCCAATGTTGCTATTCATAATAAACTTTCTCCAGGTGTCCAAATATGAGATATCTTAAAACATTCATACTACAAATGGCTGTGTGGTTAATACGATGGTTAAAGTACATTAAATATTTTATTATCCGGTAAATATTAAAAAACCAGTAATTTTATCAAAAAGGCCGTTTTGACACCAAGACGACAATTTATTAATAATTTATTTAATCCATATTTTGTTGTATGAAAGTATAGATTAAAAATAGTACCACTTCTGATACATAACAGCAACTATTTCAGTTTCAAATCTTTAGAAAAATATCGATATTTTGTATCGATACAAATTCACCATTCATCAAAAATCGACCTTCAAAAATTCCATTCCAAAAAATCTGTTAAGACCTTTTCAGATGGATGATGACTAAAAACAGCTTCACAACTTCATAAGGAGTTTTACTAGTAGTTTTTTTAATGGGTGATAATGGAATGGTAACCCCATCCGCGCTAACAGTATACACCGGCGGGGCACCAGTGAAGGATGATAGGTGAGGATGAAGTAGGTCAGTTAGCCCATCGTGACGAATTCAACAAGAATTGTTCAGAATGGTTTCCAGGGGGAACCACGTGGAGGTCGACCTGATAAGGCATATTGCAAGCAATGGGGCTGTCAAACTCCATTGCTAACAATCCCTTCCCCCTTTACTAGTAGTTGCCATGCTTAGTAGGCGGGTTGGCAACCGTAGTTAGGCTTTTAGAAACGCTTCAAGAGGGACGCTGCTGAGGTAGGTCCTCTACCATTAAGCTTCTTTAAACTCCTCTTACGACACCCACAGGAAAGGATGGAATGGCCTATTCTATACCGGGGCGTGTGGTTCCTTAAAATATAGGATACCTTTAAATAGTACATTATAAAACTATGTTGCTGACTGCGTCTGTTTTTGTTTATTCATTTAAACCATAGATTAAGGACCATACCTGTGGTTTTTAAACGATTTTACGGATAATATTCATTGTTATTTAGATATTATATACAGAACGTTTAAAAGTAACTTAAATACTGTATATTTTAATCAAACTTTTGTATAAATAGATAAATTCAATACTAACTAAATTGCATTTATGCGAAGCCGGGGTGGGTATTTATTAATTAATTAATTATAAATGAAATTAACACATAGTATTTACGAGGCGTGACGCGCGGTGTTAGGTGGTGATAATTTGGTAAGCCCGTAAAATTTACAGCCCACATCGGTAGCCATGATAACGAAATCATTGATTATTTATAACGTCATACCGTTATCTGCACTTCATAATTGTATTACCTAATAAATGTCATTATCAAGATTGCATTTGACGCACTGATGTGTACTTATTGTTGATAATGTATTGTGATTTTTAAGTCTATATGGATACGTACGTTTTTAAAAATTTTTTCACCGTACAATTACATTTCTGTTGTACTAAAGGTTGACTGGGAGAGAATGCTATATACCTAGTATTATGCCCGCCTTTTGTACCAGAGATTTTTTTGTAATGTAGTTAATAAAGATTAAATAAATAAATAAAAATAATGAATGAATATTATAAGTGAGTACTAAGTAACAGATCTTTCAAATTGGGTACCTTTTCATTTAAAATAACATTAACATTATAAAGAGAAAATTTTGGGGTTTTGATTTTTTTTTGTTGGTAATAATTTGTTCACGAAGTAGAAGCTAGTAATAAACAAATAAAAGAATCAAGGATTCCCAAATACATTTAAAATAATTTTAAGTGAAAAACAATATTCAAATAAATACATCTTGTTGCTTCACATTAGTTCACCTTTTTGTTAAAATTTTCTATGACACTGGCAAAAACGCACTTAATTAAAAAAAAAAAAAAAAACTCTATCAATTGAATAGACATATTAGATTGAAAATATTTAAATTTAGAACACGAAACGTGTTCACAACACGAATCGTGTTGTGTTTATTAACAGATTTTGCTTTACAATAAATAGTATTTGCTTCGGAAAATACTTACCTACCTGCGTAGTAGATTAATGTTTAGATCTACCGCGCTATGAATGTAGCATAGACTAATTAATTATTAATCTAAAACGAGTATAAGGGTATTCATATGTTCACAAGATATTTGTTGTTTTGTCAACATCAACATGGGAATAAACATTAACTATTACAAAATGAATTTATTTATTTATTTAACTTTCATGTACACAAAATTATAAGGAAACACTTGGCGGACATAACTTCTACAGGCATTTTCTGTCAGTCAACCATAGGGTAGACTGGGGGTCTACAATGAAATGATATTCCGAATTTTTAGACTCAATTTCGTGTTTTTATTCTTACTGAAATCGGACTAGTAAATGTAATGTATTTTATTCGTCATAAATTCTATCACAAAAGTCCAAAGGTAACGATATTTTATCATTTTTAATATTTTTAAATGGTACTTATTATGCAATTTAAATATGAAATTTGTGTTTTGTTCAGCCTCGAAATTTCAGAAAACATGTCATGGTAGGTTCTCTGACATGTTTGGTGGCGGTACTTTAAAGTAAAAGGGAAACTAATTAAAAGCAACATCTACTAATATAAATATATATAATTAAAAACAATTTTACATAAATATATACAAAATAATATTTAAACAAATATATAAAGAAGATGAAACAAAAATATTAATAATTTAAACAGAATTAAGGTTTGGAGAGAAGAATTATTAAAATACATTCTTAATTGGCAATTTAACAGTCACCATTTTTAGTGATTTTGTCATATCCACTCGAACTACTTGTTTATCAAGACAACTTCGAGTATACGTCACATTCGAAAATCAAAACCGTACCGGTACCGCCTCTATATGATAACGAAACGATAGTAAAATCAGAGACAATGACGAATGCGATCGTCCGATAACTGTTCGATAACGGTACTCATTGCGAGTTCATTATCTCGGCCAATGCCAATAAACTGCTATTTGTTATTTTGATTACAACAATGATAGATGATAAGTAATAACTAATCATGAAAGATGAGGGCACGTTCAAACTTGCGTATTTTATAGTTTTGGATGTTGTACGATGAAATAATGTGATAGTAACAAAATTAGTATAGCAGTAAACTCAAATGACTGCAAAACTAAACATTAAAACTAGCTTAAAATTTACTAAATTTTTAGTCCTCAAGATACAGGTCTAACCTAGTTTGAGGACTGATGGTAATGCAGACATTTTACCTGCAACTTAATATAAGTTTTGATATAAGTAACATTCTGTTCTGTCTCTGTTATTTCTTCATTTAATTTAATTTATAAATATTACCACCCACACACACAGAAAAAAATAAAATATATACGGGTACCTAGATCAGTTAATTTGATAATATAACCTTAATACTTAGATTATATAGATAGAGCATCGAGTCTCAAAAATTAGTCAACTCTTGTCAACTACTTGTCAAATTAGCTGACTTGTTTTTTTATCAGTATTCTATATACTTACGTACATAATGTATTTTGACGTGTCTATATTTTATTATTTAATAAATAAAAAGTTTTTATACATTAAAAAGATGCAAAATGTAATAATAATAAAAAATGTTAAATACAGAAGTTATAAAGGAAACGCTATAACTATTTATCACGCAAAATTGCAAGAAAAAGTTGACCCGCTTTTCTCGAAGCATCTGTATGGAGACACTCTACTATATAAACAAAACCTTATATATATATTTTTTTTTATGGGTGAAAATGGAATGGTAACCCCGCCTGCGCTAACGGGATACGCTGGCGGAGCACCAGTGAAGGGTGATAGATGAGAATGAAAACAGACCAGTTAGCCCATCATGATGAATTCATCAGGAATTAACCATGATAATTTCCAGGGAGAACCGCGAGGAGGTCGACCTGGTTGGGTATATTGCTAGCAATGGGATTCTTAGTCTCAATTACTAACAATCCTTTTCCCCCACAAAACTTTATATTAGGTTGTTCCTGTTTAGAAATATCAAAATACTGTTTCGTGTCAGAGTTCTTGTGATAGGTCAGTTGCTTTTATGTGAAGAAAGATCGTGAAGAAAATTTTATGTTCGTACCTTTATAATACCATAAGTGTTA